GAGCACTGTCCATGTTGCTGATGGTCATTCCAGCACAAATTGTCTTTGCCGATGATAATTTCGGCACTGTTTAGAAGTTCCTCTTGAGGGGGAGCACTGTCCATGTTGCTGATGGTCATTCCAGCACAATTGTCTTTGCCGATGATAATTCCGGCACTGTTTAGAAGTTCCTCTTGAGAAGGAGCACTGTCCATGTTGCTGATGGTCATTCCAGCACAATTGTCTTTGCCGATGATAATTCCGACACTGTTTAGAAGTTCCTCTTGAGGGGGAGCACCGTCCATGTTGCTGATGGTCATTCCAGCAAAATTGTCTTTGCCGATGATCATTCCGGCATCTTCCATGTTGATGTTCATTTTGACGCCATTTTTAGCACATTGTTGATTTTTGGTTTCTCATTTAGGAGATTTATTTTGATGTTATGTTACTTGGTCTTTCTTGTAATAAGCTTGTAGCATAGTCAAGGGAAAACCACGGCTGCTCACCAACTGTTAAATGAAATGTCTGAGAGGGATCTTGATGCTGATGTCCTGATCAGCTCAGTTGTCTTTGTCGATGATAATTCCGGCACCATCCATGCTCTGATGTCCATTCCAGCACTGTCTCTTTATCAGCTCTTCAGACTGATGGTCATTCTAGTTGATTTGTTGTACTTAGTCATTTCATTTCGTTGATGTAGCATTGTTGTTTTTGGTTCCTAATGGGAGTATTATTTATGTATCAAGCTTGTAGCATATGATCTATATGCTACAGCTTGAGATGGAGTGTTAAGAGTGTTAGTGTTAATAGTGTAGAAGTTCCACATTGAGTGTGTCTCTTTGTATTCTTCAATTGGTTTGCTATATAATAGCATCAATGTTGTGTAGTTTAATACAACAAGGATTACTATCATTTCCTCTTGTATCTATGAGATTTAACAATTGTATATGTAATATAAAGAGAGACTAGTGCATTACTCGTGCGATGCACATAATGTCACTATTTCTCTCTCTCTCTCTCTCTCTATATATATATATATATATAATATAATAGAGAGACTAGTGACCCGTGCGATGCACGGAGTGCCACTATGACGATTAGGCAAGAAGATGTTCATTTCTAAACTCTATAACGGTGTTGATAAGCTTTCTTCTTACTTTTTTCCTTTATGAAATGATAAATTTCTTTATTACAGAATTATAACCGGACATCAACTTGTTTTTGTGTCATTGCTTGAGCCTAACTACACATATTTCTGATAATCTAGGCAATAATTAATGTTGAACTACATTTTTATTCATGGTGCAAATTGTGTCTAATCTAATTATAATTATTTTTTTAAGAAAAATAAATAAATTATGACCCGTATGTTACTTGTCTATATTCTTTGACAAGTGATTCTGGCAATGCTATGCATACTTCATATTCATGCTGTGATTCTTATGGTTGGATATATTCATGGTGCAAAACGTCTAATATACAAATGCTTCGTGTGTGTCTCCAGGTGACCACCCTGAATGTATTGATTTGCCAACAGGAAAGAAATGGGTACCTGTTCCGGGAGATTGTGGTTCTCTATGGCCTGATTCACCATTAGACCAATTCTGGCAGAGGAATGAGATTTCCTGTGATTCTTTTACCTGGAGATGGGGGCATGTCTTAACCTATCAATGATAGGTCTATCTAACTGGAGAACAGAGGAAGCAGAGGGTGTTTCAGGTTTGAGAATAACCTAATACCCTCAACTGAGTCTGACTTAATCTTCGGATGTTTAGATTCATATTGTGATTAAAATTATTGTATCTGGGGTTACTGCTAATAAACTTTATGATTAGAATAAACTCTTTCTCATTCCTATTTTTTCATTGCCAATGATTGGCCGCAATGAATTCAGACCATAGCTGTTGGCTTTTACTTTTTATGCAGCGGTGAGAGCCTCCATTAGAGCTTCACCAATAACTTGCATCACACCTCTGCATCTGCTGGGGTAACTAACCTAACTGCACAAGCATTTTTCCTTTCTTCCCCGTTTGGAAATTAAACCCTTGCAGTTGAAAGTTATGGCTCCATGATGTGCTAACCCAAATTAGTATGCTAAATTGTGTGTATTCATACTTGTCGCTTAGATGAATCGATTCTGCTCGTATTCCAGAGACAGTTTAACTGGAGAGGGGGGAGTAAAGGGGAAGGATGTGAAGCCTTGTCACCCCATTGGTCAGAGATTTTTCCTCAAATTGTTCTGGGTGTCGTATGAAGGGATTATTCTGGATTAGAAAACTTGGTCATTGGTTATCCCTGAAGTACATGGGACACTGATTAATTAAACTTGGAATGATTTTGTGTTGGATTTAATATTGTTTGCATCGTTGATTTGGACAGAGTTTGTGATAGTCGGCATTTGTCATTGGCGCTGATTTTGCTACTCAATTACTGAAAGAAGTTGGAGCTTTAAGCTTAAACACTGCGTAAGCAGATGCAAAATAATCGGTGCAATTCAAAAAACTGAATCTGAGCAATGGTTAGACCAGCATCATTGAATCTTAACAAATCCTCTAATCTTATTTATCTTGTTGAGCAAAGAAGCACAGTTCACCAAGATGACTTATTGCCCCCTTTTCTTCTTTTGATCAGCACATCAAACTAATAAATTGGGTAAGCTTGCATTCCTGCCCATAAAAAACGTAGTCCATGCAAATCAATGGGAACTGCTACGCGAGACAACATGTTTAGTTGTCGTTTTAAGACAACGAATTGATTCCTTCTTGTTAATATTTATGTTCAGCGTAATGTTGCACAAAAAGATCAACGAAATAATTAAGACGAGTGCCAAAATCCAGGCGTCGCTGGGAAGAAGATTGATGCCAATATCTAGAACATAGGATGTAGGAGCCTTCAGAAGAACAACGTGCACTATTGAGGATTGTTAATAAATTTACGAAGACCCTATGAATGTCTTTACGTCAAAGGAGATGAATGGAAACGCGATCAAGAATTTAAATGAGCTAAGACAATGCACTTTGTAATATTAGAAAAAGTAATGATAAATGTTAACAAAAGTCATATTACGAAAACCAAATTAGGAATTACCTTACCTGGCTGATTTCCATTCAATGATTTCGTTTGATTTTATTATTTAAAATTAACAATTGTTAACTGAATAGCAACACATATGCCCCCTCTTTTCCTACAAGAGCATTCGCTCAATTAGAAATCCTTGTCGCCTTTAGTATTTGTCTCAACATAGACTTCTATACCATAGAGTATGTCCCAAATCTGGCTCATTCTTCGTGTTTGCCCATGTCATCTTCAATTGACAGCAGCAATCACTATATTAAACCAGAATCGTCCTCCTCATATGTGTTTCTTTCAAGTGTCTGCAGAAATAGCAGAAGAATTATAATGGGTTGGAAAACTGACTTGAGACTTGGTCTTAGCATCTCTCCTTTTTTTTTTTCTCAACTTGAATTACCATCCAATTCAACTCCAACTTACCCGGGAACAGATGCAGGATCGAAAGTTTGAGGGTACCAAATAAAAATAGATGAAATATTATAACGCATTTTTAGTCTTTACACTAATAAATTATAATAAAATAGAAAGTTCTCAACGTGTCCACATCCACAAAAATATAGAAAATTAATATTAGCTTTATAACATTTTTTTTTTTAAATAGGGAAGAACACAACTTTCTAAACCTTCTTATATGTGGTGGCAGATATAGGTGGAAAAACGGGTCCTTGAACATAACTAGACCCCATTTTTTTTTGTCTTGAGAAACATTTTAAGCCAACTCTATATGCATCATTCAGGAGTGTCCTGAGAAACATAACTAGACCCTTTTTTTGTCGAAGTCTACATGGAAGGCATCTTTGTGGTTAGAAAATTGCTGTTGGCACTTGGCACATCATAGGCAAAGACCTTTTCTTTTCGTAGAAGTCTACCCTTTAGTTGATTAATTTTCCTCGTTCTCTCTGCTTCCTTCTAAGGACAAGGACCACAAAAAAAGCATAGAATTAGACACTCAAATATTTATACATATAAAATAAATAAGGGTTTTATAATAGTTATGTCGTAAGAAAAGTGATTGTGTAATATTATAGAGATTCGTTTTGTGTGCCGTAGTTTTTTTTTTTTTTTTGCTTCAAAAAGTGTGGGCTCCACAAAATGTTGTGTGTGTAGGAAACTTTCTTGTGTCATATTAAATGATAAATGCAAATCCCATAAAATAAATTATAAACATAATACAAGTAAAAATAAATTTTTCATCAATGATATGTTTTAACAATGAATTTCAACTGTGATTCAGTAAAAATAAGTTTTTCTACTGACGTTTAAGCATGTTACATATCCAAATTTGCGTTGAAACATATTGTTGCATGGCAAAAATATTTCCATAAAAAGATCTAGTTTCAATTTGCTATAGAATTTAACTACAATTCCGTAAAAAAGTTCGACGAAAAATAATAGGAAAAAATATTTCTGCAGTTATTGCAGATAAGTTATATGCATTTATTCTTAAAACGACATCGTTAAGCTATTGAAATCTTAAAATATTATAAAAATAAAGACTATTATAACCTGAAATAAATTAAAATTACAAAAACACTATAATTTCTGTCCTTCAATGGAAATTATTTACTAAATTTTTTTGACAAAAGATTCCATCGAGAATTTTGAAGGAATTTAATGTCCGCCAAAAAAATTCACATAACTTTTTTATTTTCGAAAACTTCCATTACTGATTATGACCGAATCTTTTTTTGTCTCTAATTTCATCTTTATTTTTTACATACTTCTATTTTCATGAAAAATTCCATCACAATTTTTGACAAAATATTTTTTTGTCGATAATGAAACCTTTTCTAATAGTGACTGAATATGATAAAAATAAAATAAAATTTTATGAAATAAAAAATTTAAATAGCTCACTGGCTAACCCTAACCCATGAAGCTTTTGCCATGGGAGGAATTGGCCCATTGACATTTATAGACTCGGCTCTAAGGTGAAAACTTAAGATGGCCATGTTTTTATTATGCACAAAGAGAAATGAGACAGAAAAAACATTAAAACAAAACACTTCAATCGTTGTATAACTAAAGCACATACATGACTTCCATAAAGGAGACCCTCAAAAAAAAAAAAAAAAAGGGAAGGAAAGAATCTATGTAGTCTAAATATTTAAAACGGACTTAAATTACATTGGTTGCTGCTAAGCATCCTTACCTTTCTCAAGTCTCCGTATTAAGAGATTGAAGCTGTATCTCAACATGATTTATTTGCACTTCGTAGTTTATCAATACCTAGCTAGCCTTAGTTGGGTATTGGTAAACTAAGAAATGCAAATAAAATCATGTTAAAATACAACTTCAATCATTTAATTGGATATTGGTAAACTAAGAAATGCAAATAAAATCATGTTAAAATACAGCTTCAATCTCTTAATCCGGAGACTTGAGAAAGGTAAGGATGCTACTGACGTTCTCTTTCTCTTTGCACAGTAAACAAGAATCACAAGCAACTGTGACCAAAGCAGTAACACCAATTCTCAAATCTTTGATGCAGAAATTGGGATTTTTTCAGCAGATGAAGATGTTTCCTTGAAACCCAACATCTTGTTTATTGCAGCAATATAGGCCTTGACACTGGAAACAACAACATCCATTCCTGCTCCGGTCCCACTACAAAAAAAAATATATATATCGTATCCATGGATCATTAGAAAGAACAAGATACACTAAAGCAATCCAATTCAGAATTCAACAAACCTAAATGTTCGATGAACAGTTTCTCCAGTTAAAGCACGAGTAGTAGGAGTCTTCTCCCCACCAATTAAAACTCGTGTAGTGGCAATTGCATCAATGCCTTCGGTGACTGCATTCATCGAGTACTCAAGAAGAGTTATTGGTTCCTGCATAAAAATAAGAGTAGAAGATTAATCCATCAGACCTATAGTGCTAACAATACCAGCCTAATTAAATTAAACGTGTAAATCAGGGTGATGAGAAAACATCTTAGATTTGAAATCTATCAAGAATTTCAGGTTTAGGGTTAGGGAAAAAGGGAAAGAGATAAAGACGGTTAATACTGAAAATATTATTGATAGGATGTAATGTTTTACAATACCTAATACTCCTATTAGAACTAATAATTAAGTCAAGTACACTACCTATACATACTAAGAGTAGTCCAATAAGCTTTCAAAATCAAAAGGAAGCGATAGGATAATAGAGACAAGGAATATATACAACTTCAAACCTTCACTATCAGATCAACAGCCTTGTAAGCCGAATCCACTGGTCCAGTACCAACAGAACAAGCAACTTGTGTACTACCATCAATACTAACAAGTTTGACAGTTGCTGTTGAAAGACCAAGAGTTCCACAAGTCACCTGCACTTGATGGAATACTGATTAGCTTATGTTTGTTCTACTGTTGTCAAGCCATTACATCATATTTCAAAACATATTTCAATTTACCTGCAAATCACCAAGCTTCCAGATAGGCTTTGCCTGAAAAACTTCATCTGATACCAATGCTCTGAGGTCAGCATCAGTAATCCTCTGATACAAAATAAAGCAAGTTAACCAGCATGCGTCTAACATATATAGAACCCATTATCTCATCCTCCAGCTTTGATTCTATACAGGAAAGAGCTAACTTTATTTATTACTGTCCATATTAATTTCCTGATATAAAATATCGCATATCAAAAGACAATTAGACCCAAATTGTTGACTGAGTCAATGCAAGCTAGATGTAATGCCTTGCATATTAAAATCAGTAGCACTCAAACGGAAAGAAAATCACTATTTCTTATTTACCTTTTTTTGCTCAGCCACTGCTTTGAAACGCCAAAATAAACTCTGAAATTGGTCATCATTAAGTTCATAACCAAGCTGAAACAACAGAGAATAATTCATAAAACAGAAGATAACATTCAATAAGATTTTAGCTTCAACTCAAATATTTGTACCTCTTCAAGTCGCTTTCTCAAAGCATGGCGTCCACTGCATCAATAGGAGCACAAGTGCTTGTTAGGAGGAGAAACTAAAAAATAAGACTTTTTTTGGGGATAAAGTAGAAGAGAATGCAATTAATTGCACAAGGTGCCAGAGGAAACAAGAACATGAATCACTCATTAAAAAGACAACAAACAACAAATAAAGAGCCATGTCGGTCAAAATACTGCTGAAAAGATACACTCGTGTATGACATAATGGTTATAAAGCTACAAAAGATGAGAATCTTAGGGCGGAGTATTGTTAAGAGATTCCCAGATATCAACAGTTAGTTACAGTCGAGTATCAGTGGTTAGTTAGAGAGATTCAAAGGGCAGGAGATTGGCTTAAATAGGAGCAGCAGCAGAAGGGAGTAGATAAAGAGTTGTTAACATTGAGAAAACAAAACAATGGCTCAATTGTAAGAGAGAAATCCTTGGAGAAAATCTCTCTCCTTTCTGATTGATATTCAACCATCAATAGAGATTCCTTCTTTCTCTTTCTACCTTTCATACCATGTCTCTATTCGTGTTTGTGGGTTCGTAACATATTTCCTCCCTATAAAACTAATTTTTCAACATGGTATCAAAATCCTTCTCAAGCAAGATGGAAAGAGTTTAGTCACGAAGAATATGGTGCGATACTTTGAAACCGAGATGAACTTTAAAGTTGACCAGGATTCATTTGTACATGGGATTCTCAAAGCTCCAGTCATATAAAATAAAATTTTCCCGGTGAATATTTCACATTTTATCAACTTAAAAGAATAGTGATAAGTAAAGAATGGTTAAATACACAAAATCATGCTTAAGACCTAATAATCACTTGGCGGCAACATAGAAGGATAAACTAAATTATTTTTACAACTTGTTTTATCATGTTATGCTGACTGTAAGTATTCATGTTACATATAGTTCTTAACAGATGATAATAAATTCTAAATAATTTGAAAATCACAGATGCAAGGATTAGCAGGGTGTACAAGATCCATGAAGATATAATTGTTAAGGCAAAAAGTAAATAACATACCTAAGCTTCCCCAGCACAATACCAGCTTCGTTGGATCTTTCAAAGCCAATGTCCTCGGGAGATATTATTTCATATGTACGTTTGTCTTTTAGCATTCCATCCTACAACACAGTTTTTTGAAAAAATAAAAAGGGCAGGATATTAAAGGACAGCATCGAGGCTGGCTTAGGGACAAGCCACCAAAAAAAAAATGTTAGGATTTCAGATAAGGAACTCCAGTTAATAATATTTACCACGAAGGGGAAAAAACCACCAAAGTGGTTATTATGTATAATGTATCAGTTAATTTTGGCTTGAATAACCGCTCATTAATTATTTTTCTTTCATGGTATCAAGAGTTACTTTTTTGGAATTCTCCCAAAAGTAAAACGCACTAGCTCCTAAAACAGACAACAAAAAATGTGCTGAACCTGGAAAAAAAATAGAAATGGAAGTTTGGCTCTATTTATGTGAAGGAAATCAAATCAAATTCTTGTATGTAAAAGGAACCAATGTGTATATATATATATATGTGTGTGTGTGTGTGTGTGTGTGTGTGTGTGTGTGTGTGTGTGTGTGTGTGTGTGTGATGAGGCTCAAGGTTGACTCTTACAAGGGCCATTTGACTGAAGTTTAAAATTTTTGCTTTTCTTTTATAAAGTATATCTTTCTAAATTGCAAAATCAAAATCAAACACAGAAATCAAGCTCAACCTCATTCTATGGGATTGGTAATCCACTTTTAATGCCCTGATTTGGACCAGGATGGCAAAGTCACATGCAAAGAAGGTTTTATTTTTTTAATTTAAACTATCCAGCACAATCTATGTACCCAAAATATTCTACGAAATTTGTCAGCATGTAAAGATTAACATGCAATGCCCAGCTTGGAATTAAGGGGAAAAAAGTGTGTGTTGCTGGGGGGAAGTACATGAGTCTCACACCATTTTTCCATATGGAGAGGGTCAGATGTACTCAACCTTACCCCTGGGAGGAGAGAGGTTGTCATGATCACCAAGTCACAAGGCAGCAACCCTTTGATATAACAAATTCTATTTTTTGGCCAATATGCTAAGTAACTTCTGGTAAGACATGCCATCTTAGCATTAACTTGGGCTCATTTCAGGTGTAATGGTTTTTGTTTGAAAATTATAAATTTAAACATCATACAACGGTAAGTGCCAGGGTCTAAGTCCTATAATACAGATATACACACATATATGTATTTAACATAACCAACCTGATGTATGCCACTTTCATGAGCGAAGGCATTAGCTCCCACAAGAGCCTTGTGTGGCTGTAACTGCAAACCAGTGTACTCTTCGACCTATTGAAAAAGATTATGATAAACCAAACAATTAATAAAGTTCTTTAAAAGGGAAAAGAACAAACACAAAGGTTGGTTTCAGATATAAAACCATCCTGCTTGTCATAAAGATGTGCCTCGTATTAATTCCAGTGTACAGACTGCCAGAGACACCTGCTGCGCATTTCAGGGTCATCACAACCTAGAAAGAAAAATAAACAAGTTAGAAAACACTATAAAATAGAAGCCTCCGAATATTGATTACTGAGATCAATAGAAGTACTAAAACTTCCACTTTTGAAGCTAGAAATGTGGTAAAAAATGGAACATATTATCTAAGGGCTGAATATGCAAAGGTTGCATGAGTCCTGATGGAGAACATTCATTCATGATTCATATAAATTACATGGAGAAAATACACATTCAACTGAACATTGCATGATTACTGTCAAGTCATGGTAAGTCATGGTTATTACATCAATTACACAATGGAAGATTGACCCTCACCTCTTCTAAAGAGGCATTCCCAGCCCTTTCACCAATCCCATTAATTGTCACCTCCAGTTGCCTTGCACCAGCACGTGCACCCTGAAAGCAGCCAAGAGCAGATAAATTTACAATCTAGTTTAATTGTTTGTATCAAGTGGAAAAAGATATGGGCATACCTCTATGGTGTTGGAAGTAGAATGTCCAAGATCATTTTGACAGTGAGTGGAAATGATAACATCTTCAATTCCAGGGGTATTAGCTTTGATATCAGCAATCAATTTTGCAAATTCACTTGGTATTGTTATGCCGACGGTGTCGGGTATGTTGAGCGTTGTGGCCCCAGCCTTGATAACTTCTCCAAGAATTTGGTAAAGAAACTCCCTATCCGATCTGGTAGGCATAAACACAAGATAATTGAACACCAAGCAAAAAGAGACACAAGCAGTGACAGAGCAGAAAGAAAGAGAGAACAAACCTGCCAGCATCTTCAGGACTGAACTCGACATCATCGCACCCTAAACTGCGAGCAAACTTGACCATATTGCGAGCAATGTCAATGACCTGGTCTTTAGTCATTCTCAACTTGTGCTCCATGTGAATGGCACTCGTGGCTATGAAAGTGTGAATCCTAGGCCTTTTCGCATATTTAACGGCCTCCCAAGCAGTTCGAATATCCTTCTCATTGCATCTCGAGAGGCCACAGATAACGGGAACGTAATCGTCGACGACGTCGACGGCGTTGCCGACCTCTTTGGCGATCATTTTGACGGCCTCGAAGTCGTCCTTGGAGGCAGCAGGGAAGCCAGCCTCGATGATGTCGACGCCGAGCTTGGCCAGCTGGCGAGCGACGTCGAGTTTCTCCTTGGAAGTCATGGAGGCGCCGGGGGACTGCTCGCCGTCGCGGAGGGTGGTGTCGAAGATGCGAACATACGATGGGTCAGGGATGTGGTTAGGGATGTAAGGGGGACGCCGCCGAGTGGATTCGGGTTGGGGTTGAGATTGAGAGCACGAAATGGTGCATTTCGGATGTGGGGTGGTAAAGATGGATTGGAAGCGGGAGTGAGAGTAAGAGTGAGAGGGTTTTGAAGTTTGTGGAAAAGGGAAATGGAGGATGATACGGGAAGAAGGAACGGAAGTGGAGGCGTGGGTGGAGGGAAAGACAATAGGGCTGCGGATCACGGCGGCCATAGACGGCGATGGAAACCTAAACGACGTCGGAAAGGATCAGCTTACGGCGTTCTGCTGCCTTTTCGGATTGAAATTTCTGAATATTCTGCACTACAGTACACTGCGCTCAACTACTGAGGTGGCGGCTAGGATATTCTCAATGCGCCGCCTTTTCTTCGTTTTCTTCTCAACTCACAACTAGTGTGTGTGATGTAAGAACGGGAAAATTTGTAGCTATCAGTGTAATTAAAACCGGCCAATAGGGTTGTAAATTTACACACAAAATCGAGTAAACACGAAGGAAAGCATTTTACCTCATCTCCTATCCGCTCCTTACAAATTACAATTACTCGATTTAGGAAATATAAATTGAATTTTAAAAATAGTTAATTTTTTTTTTCAACCAACATAAATAAGTTATTTATATCGAGCAAAAAATGAGCCATTTTAATTATAATTTATATTAAAATTATAATAATTTTTCTTATTATATTTCTTTAATTTTTGAATTCAAAACAACATCACTTTGAGAGAATGAATGTACATAACTTATCTATATTCACCATAAAAATATTAGAGCTTTTACAAATAATTCTAACAACAGTTGTTCGTGAATCTAAGTCCAAACTACTAAGAAAAAAATAAAATTATAACAGTTAACAACAGTATCAGGTCTCTATAAGATCATGGTTGTAACCCGCCCAAAAAAAGTCATCGTCTGAATATAAAATATAAGGGAAAACATTTTCTCCTTTTAAAGGAGAAAATGTTTCTCATGTTAATGACCCATAGCATAAGTGGGTCCCACAAAATAGTGGAAAGAGAAAAAAATTCAAAGTAGGACTCACTTATGCTTTGAGTCACAAAAATAAATTATATTTTATGAATTTTTCTAATTTTATTTTATTTTATTTCACACTTCTCTATATTTTTTTTAGTTTCAATCTTAAATGTATACTAATATTTGTCAAACATTCTTTAGGAATTTATAAATAGATAAAATTTGTTATAAATAAAATAGTTATTCTTAAATACACTCACTTATGCTTTGAGTCACTAACATGAGAAACATTTTCTCCTTTAAAAGGAGAAAATGTTTTCCCAAAATATAACTCATATATGGTTGAAGTCGTGGGCCAGCCCACCAATAACTATATTTGGTTGTAACCTATTAAGATTTTTTGGGTAGTAAAACCTTTTTTTTTTTACTCTAACCCTTAAATTTCTATAATTTATCAGGTTGAATTAGGGCTGATCCACTAGCCAAATTTGTAGCTTCAACAAAATTTATATTATTTAAAAAATTTATAAATATAAAATAAATTATAAACATAATATAAGTAAAAATAAATTTTTCAGCAGTGATATGTTTTAACAAAGAACTTCAACTGCTGATTAGTATAAATAAAATTTTCTATTCACATCAATGCATGTTACATATCCAAATTAGCATTGAAACATATTGTTTTATATTTCTGTCAAAAAATCTAGTTTCAATTTGCATCGAAATTTAACTATAATTTTGCTAAAAATTTAGATGGAAAATATTTCCACCGCAGTTTGTGGCGGAATTTAACTAGAATTCCATCAAAAATGTCAAAAAAAAATAGTCAAAATTTAGGACAAAAAAATTTATTTTATCAAAAAATTTGACGGAAAAAAATTTAATCTAAAATTTTTTATGCAAAAAAAAAAACATCAAAATTTTCGATTGAAATAAAAATTTCGACATAAAAGATTGCATTGAAATTTTTGTTGAAAAAGATCCCATCAGAATTTTCGATGAAAAATAATTTTGTCAAAAGTTCCAACTGAAAATTTTTTATCAAAATATTTCAACTGAAATTTGTTTTTTGACGTAATTTAATTTTAGCAATTTTTTTTAATTTTCCAGCACTGATTATGACCGAATATTTTTCGTTCTCTAATTTCATCTTTATCTTTAATGAAATTCTATTTTCATCAGACGAGCTAAGTTTTATCACACGAGATATGGACATATTTAATAGCATATAATGCTGTAAAAAAGACTAGATCATTCTTTTTTTATATAAAAAGAGAGAGAATGATCTAACCTTTTTGACATCATTGTATGCTATTAAATATGTCCATATCTGTATAAAGACCAAATTATGCATGCTGTAGGTTGGAATTGCCTAATCCTCATCTATTCATCAATCAATATTTTGAAATGAGTGAGAGTCCGCTTGATCAACTAGCACACTCATATCTACGACAATTTGAGCAAAATTCGATAAGTGATTTCAATGTACGGAAAGGCCCAATGGAGAAATTTCTATATTTATATTTAAGGTTTAATGTTTTAGGAGATAATTTAAAGAGAAAAATATTTTTGTAATTAATAAAGATAAATTATCTGTTTTTACTCTCAAAACGACATTATCTTGGGATTAAAATATCAAAAAATTATAATTATAAGACTATAATAACTCTAAAATAAATTAAAATTACAAAAATACCATGATTTTTATTCCAAAACGATGTCGTATTGAGCTTACTGCATATAAATTATCTACAGTAACTGCAGTAAAAGTGAACCCTTAATCTAAAACCTTAAGATGTTAGGTAATGATCTTTTTAATAGTTTATATTATTATCTAACACATCCCATTATGCAAGATTTTTTGTGTTTGAAACATGAATATTGCACAAGCCCAATTTTTGATTTACTTTTTTAATAGTTTATATTATTCTCTAACACGTACACATATATAAAAACATATGAGACTCATATTTTTTTTTCTCTCTTTTCTTCGTATATAGACTTATATAAATTCCACACACTTTTATATTTGTATTAAACTAAAAAATATTAAATCCTTTCATATATATATATATATCACGTTCTCAAGCAAGCAAAAGGGAGGCCACTATTTAGATTATGGTTTACTGGCACCAGCCTGTAGATTCAATTATTTATCATAATATAAATTATATAAATGACATTTGAAATTAATTATTATATAATGATAAATAAATAATAATTATTAAAGACACATATTATTATTATTATTGTAACTTGTACGGTTGCGTGACGTGTATATACAAAATAGAAATTAATTATTAAATAATGATAAATTAATAATAATTATTAAAGACACATATTATTATTATTATAACTTGTAAGGTTGCGTGACGTGTATATACAAAATTTAACATATATTGACAGCATATTCATAAATAGCTTGCTCTGTTCCCAAAACTTCACCAAATATATATATATATATATATGATAGGATCTGTTTACAAATTTTTTTTTCTCCAAATTACACTAAGTACGACCGGTCACAGACTGCATCATTAAAGTAGGACCGGTTATACTTAGTGTAGTTTATAAGAGTTTATAAACAAAAAAGTTTGTAAATATAACCGGTCATACTTTAATATGCAGTGTGCGACCGGTCGTATTTAGTGTGATTTACAAAAATAATTTGTAAACGAATCATATCCCATATATATATATGAAAAAATATTTCTACAAACACTCTAAATAAAATTATCTATAGTTATTTTTTTTTAACTAAGTATGACCGATCATATTTAGTTATAACTATAAAGTTATTTTTTTTTAACAGTATCATGTTACAGGATTAAATTTCAATTTTCTTGCCCAAATAATCAAACGTGGGGCCCATCAATTTTTTTTTTTTAATTAAAAGAAAGATGGCCGATGGGACTCTTCTTATCTGTGCAGGAAAGATAAAAATGAGTCATGTGACGTAACAAACCTTTAACCCTTTATATTATGATAAATAATTGAATCTACAGGCTGGTGCCATTAAACCATAATCTAAATAGTAGCCTCCCTTTTGCTTGCTTGAGAACGTGATATATATATATATATATATATATATATATATATATATATATATATGGAAATGATTTATTTATAGATTTTTGTAAATTATATTTTGTATTTCTGAAAATATATAGTATAACTCAATATACTTTCAAAAGTACATAGTATATTTTATAAGAGTTTATAAATAAAAAATTTATAAATATAACTCTATGTGTATATATATATATATAGGGAAAACTTTTTCTCATGTTAGTGACACTTCGATTTGCATGCAAAATTTTTCTTTTCTTTTTCTTTTTTTAATAAATATAGGACCCACCACTAGTTGAGTCACAACATGAGATTTGAATTCTCATGCAAAATGAGAAAATCAAATCCCATATATATATATATATATATATATATATATATATATATATATATATATGGGTTTATTAATCTCATGTTACATGAGAGTACTATCTTATGTGGGTGATACAAATACGTGGGGTCCACAATTTAAAAAGAAAAGAAAAAAGAAAAAAAAAGATTGGCACAAAATTCTATGGGTGTATGACATGAGATAGATATCTTATGTAGCATGAGACTATCATTTCCCATATATATATATATATATATATGAAATGTGCTTAAGATATCATACTACAAGATACCAAATTATTCTCCTCCAAGAAGGTTCCGTGCGTCAGGGTTCTTGCCCCTAGCTCTCTCCTTCCATATTAGTTCAACTTCATCAAAGGTCAATCCTTTGGTCTCAGGAACATACACAAGCACAAACAGAAAGGCAAGCACGGATATACCAGCAAGAATCAAGAAGGTAGAACCAGTCCCTATAGCTTCAGCTATTGAAAGAAAGCTCTGAGACACAATCAAATTTGAAACCCAGCAAACAGTAGCTGACATACCCCCACATATTCCTCTATATTCTTCAGGATATATCTCTGAGTTCACAGTCCACGGCACAGGTCCCATCCCAGGTGAGAAAAATGCAATATAAAGGACTAAACCCAAAATTGCAAGCCATCCATACAATTGATCAGAGGGTGAGTGATTTAAAAATGCCACGGACAAGAGGATCAAAGATGCAAATACTCCTGCTAGGCTAGAAAGAGCCAAAAATTTTCTGCCTGCATGGTCAATTAGGTAAATGCCAAGAACTGTTCCAGCAGCATTCATGCCAGCAACTATGAGTGACAGCATAAGAGCCAACTCATTAGATTGGAAACCAGCCATTTGAACAATCGTTGGGCTGTAGTACATCACTGTGTTTATACCTGTAAACTGCTGAAAAGCCTGCATGCACAGCCATCAACCATAAACCAACTCATTAGTTTTACTACACTATTGCTTTCAATTAATTTTAACATATATTTATATGGTTATATTTACAAACTTTTTCTTTACAAACTCTCACAAATTACACTACGTATTTTCGAAAGTACACTAAGTTACATTATGTATTTTCGGGAGCACATAGGGGCCGTTTGGTACACGAGTTTTTCTCGGATTCCCGGAAAACTGAAATTTTTAAAATTTTAAATCTTCAGATATTATCGTAAACTGAATGTAAAAATCATATTTTTAAAAATTGAAATTCCCGGACAAATAAAAATTTCTCCTTGTAGCAAACGCTCTCTAATTTGCAAAAATTTGAAAACGGATCCTCTCTTGTATATTTATATTACCTGAAGTCCAGCTCCAATAAGGAATGCGAGTCTGATTTCTTTTGATTTAAAAACTTGTCCGAATCCGATATTGGTCCTTTTTTGTCGGTCTTGCTCTGACTGAGCTGTTAGAAAATCAACTTCGTCCTCTAACCTTGCAACGTCATAGATCTTTGAAAGCACATCAACAGCTTCATTTTTCCTATTCTGCATGCACATGAATTGAAGACAAAAAAAAAATAAAAAAAATAAAAAATGGTAAAACATCCAGCTGGGGACAGTTCTTGATTTGAGAGCAATTAGTAATGCAGTTTTTGACCTTTATAAAGAGCCATCTTGGGGATTCTGGAAGGAAGAGCATGAGAATAAACTGAACAACTGCTGGCACAGCTGAAACTCCCAGCATCCATCGCCACGTCCCGGGGACCTGGAGGGGAATAATATTGTGAAAGGTGGCAATTGAAACAATACACGTACAAAAGCAAAACAAACATTTTTGGGACAAATTAATTAAATGTGATGATGGAAAAGTAATTATTAACCTGTGTAAAAGCAAGGTTAACGATGTAGGAAAGAAACTGTCCACCAGTTATCATGAGGACATTAGTGCTTACTAATGAACCCCTAATTTCAGAAGGTGATGCTTCGGCAATATAGACAGGAGCGGTGACAGAAGCAATGCCAACACCCACACCAACAAGAAGACGTCCCAATATGAGAACATAAGGATCTGGTGCTGCAGCCATTCCAATTGCTCCAAAAATAAAGATAACATCAGCAATAAGAGTGGCCATCTTTCGTCCATAAGCATCATTAACCCAACCACCTGCAGCTGCTCCAATAATTGCACCAGCAATTGCCATGCTCACTATTGTTTCCTGCCAATCATCCCATCACAAAAACATATATTAACTAAGGGGAGGTTATATTTACAATTTTTTTTTCTTATAAACACTAAATATGACTGGTCAGACTTCAATCAAGAGTGTATGATCCGTCAGACATAATGTAATTTGTAAGAGTTTATAAACAAAAAATTTGTAAATATAACCTTCTCCGTTAACTAAAGATACATATTTTCCTTTCCTTGGAATGGATGCAACATTGAAAGATCGCAAAAAAGGTTGTACCTGTAGAAAATTACTTTGTCTAACTGCCTCAAAATCATCTTTAATATATAGAAGGGCTCCTGATATGACACCTGTGACAAAATTTAAATTAGCTACAAAGTGAATAACTTACACGTTAGGATTAATAGACGGGCGTTTTTCCAAAATATTGCAAGTCTAGGTGACATGCATGCTGTTATTAAAGATTTTAACATCAAAGAAGGCAGAACCAATAATAACCATATACTTGAGAATTCAATGTCTATAACATCATTTTTACATGCAAGTATGCAGTAAATTTCTTGAATCCTTGTTTTGAATAATTAAGCTGCCTACGAAAGGATAAGAAATATGAAGATAACTTTCCGATGATAATATACAAGATAAGAACATTGTTTTTTATTTCTTTTCTCCCTTTTAAGCTTTTTTAATAAAAATTCTTTAAATATTACTTTAGTGATGTGACATTTTCCAGACCCTAAAAAGATCCAGTACCAAGAAAACAAAAAAACATTATTTTTTTATATTTTTTAAAGAATCAAAACTCCCGATATTTCTTGTAACATTCTATTATAACTAGACGAATTTCTTTCTTTCTTTTTTCGCAAATAGACGATAAAATTGTTGAACTTGGGCAGACACAGTCTTGAGAAGACCCACGTTAATTGGAATAAAATGGCACAATAATGTTGAGTCCAACTACGGAGAACTTCTTCTGTACTACTCTTGGAAAAAGAATGGTTATTTACTCTAAAAAAAATACCAAATTGTTGAATGTGTATGGGTCTCACAAAGCATGCGAGTCCCACGTTATAATCTACACATCCAATGATCTGCATCTTCTTAGTAGAAGATTTTTTTCTTCCTAAAAAAGGAATCAATAGTTTTTGATCATATGAGCTAGTAGTCCATTCTTTTTGAGATAGTAATAAGCGCAAGCCAAATTAATTAACTTGAAAACTGAATTAACCATAACAATCCTCAAACCAAGGCATGGGAAAAATCCTTATATGCGTGTGCGGTCTATACATATAAGTTTTTTATTAAATATATTTATAAATTCATCTATTATTTGCTCTAGAGTCTAGAACCATTATAAAGACAACTCTTCTAATTTTTTTTTTTTTAATTTTCAAGACTTGAACTCGAAATCCTAATTAAAGGAACAAACTCCTAATTACAACCTATATAACCTTTTGTGTGAAGAATAATTTCAAAAGCTAAAATACTAGGAACATCTTGTCGATTAGCTAGAAAATTGATAAATTGATGAGTTCTTTTCAATTTTTTTTTTATTTGTTTTTTTGAAGAATTAGGATATATATATATATATATAAATAACTCAGTTGCACCGATCCTAGAGAAGGCGAAAGGAAAATAGTCAAAAATAATAATAATTACAAAAGACAAAGTACCAGTGTCGTAGCCAAAAAGCATGCCACCAATGCCAGCGACAGCAGCGAGTCCGAGGATATAAGGATTCTTAAAAAAGGACATTTTCCTTTCAGGATACAAATCCAAATACCCTGAGCTTCCTGGCGTGGATTGTATTGTCGTAATCGTCATCTTCCTAAGATCTAAATCTAAATCAGCCTCTAATAATAATAAACTCAAACCGCAACACCCCCAACAAAAAAGAAATGACCAGTGAATGGGGGAAGAATAATGGAACACAAACTCTGAAACTGGAAATAATTAAGGATGATTTGTATAGAGCACCATAAATGAGAAATGGGTTTGGCTTAGATTAATATTATGTTATTGTTACGAGAGGGGGATGGTAGAATCAGATGGGCTATCAAACTGGGAAATTTAGATGATTCCCCAGAAATGTTTATGACCCAGATTCTATTATTTCCCTTTACTTAGCCACAAATTGAGAAAGGGGAACAGAACAGGAATTAGATGATTTGGAGGATCATTACCATTAATAGACAGGGTGAGTCTACAAATTAGGTAACGTCGTTTTGTTATTGCCAAATATTATTTATTAACAGTCGTTTCTTTTGATTGATTAAAAAAACTTTTAAATGCACTTTAAGAGTGTGATTGGATAAATTTAAAAAAAAAAATAGTTTTATGACATAATTCTTACTTATTTATACATTTTTTTAAAGTCACTTTTATTACGTTTATGGAAAAACATTAACTATAATTTTTTTAGTTTTTTACTTTATTTTAAAAAAATCTAATTATGTTAAAAAAAATTAAAATTAGTTTTTTCTTAAAAATATACATACAAAAAAATCTTAAATCTCAAATTATAAACCTAACACTTTTTTTTAATTTAAAAACTTGGACTTGGAACAATGGTAAAAGTTTAAAGAAAGAAAAGTCTTTGGCAATTTGCATAAAGATTATTATCCTCAAATCTAGTCCCTATTTTAATTTAGGATTCATTTTATCTGCAGTTATCTGCACTAAACTCATTACGACGTCGTTTTGGACGAAAATCATGGTATTTTTATAATTTTAATTTATTTCAGGGTTATAATAGTCTTTATATTTATAATTTTTTAAGATTTCAATACCAAAACGACATCGTTTTAGAAATAAATGTAGATAACTTATATGCAGTAACTGTAAAAATATTTTTCCCTGCTAAACTTGTTTCCTGTAAAATTACTTTTGTCTATTATTATCTATGTTACTATGACTTTTTGACCCTTTTACCCTTCATTAATTAATTAATCACCATTTTGCCCGTTATTCAAAATTATCTACCAATCTGTTCAAAATTATCTACCAATCTGCTCCTCTTTAATCGATTAAGTTGAATATTTAATCAATTAAATGGTCAAAACCGACAAAAATAGTTGACTCGAGATTTAATCGATTAAATATTCAACTTAATCGATTAAATCTCCCTGACTTTGAAACCAACAAATTCACGTGTTGATGGCTGTTGGTAGCCACTGGGCCTGAAATTTTTCTTGTAGTTCAACGCGTTTCAGAATGATTCATTAAGTTGCAGAGCCCCAATGAAGAATCAAACTGAATTTGTTATTTAGCACCTTGGGATATTCTTATGTTGTCTACACACTACATCCAGCAGGGCCTCCTGTTCAAGAAACCTTCATCACCACATAACGAATAAGATTTCATTCAGAATCTGTTGGATAAGCTCAAGCACTCCCTTTCTCTCGCCTTATCCATTTCTATCCATTGGCTGGTCGCCTAGTTACCTGCAAAATCCAAGACCCTCCCTCCCTCTCATGCTATTTTCGTTGATTGCAGTAACAGTCCCGGTGCTAGATTTATCTATGCAACCATGATGGTCATACCATGCCCTTGTTGACCATCCAAGTCACTAAATTAGTTGATGTTGTTTTCCTAGGTTGCTCCATGAACCACATTATTGGTGATGGGGCTTCGTATTAGAATTTCTTTAATACATGGTCTGAGATTTTTCAAACTCAAGGAGATTTAATCGATTAAATTTCGAGTCAACCATTTTTACCGGTTTTGTCCATTTAATCGATTAAATATTCAAGTTAATTGATTAAAGATGGGCAGATTGGTAGATATTTTTGAATAAGGAGCAAAATGATTATTAATTAATTAATGAGCGATAAAAGGGTTAAAAAATCATGTTACTATACTCTTTAGTTTTTACGAATATAGTTTGCTTTATTTTATATATATATATATATCTATATATATATATATATATATATATATATTATTCCTTGAAATTAACCTCAAAACAATTATTTTAAGATTTTATGAAATACAATTTTATCTTTTATGGTATGAGAAATATTATATAAACTCATATTATTACTTATTCTTTTGGAATAATCTATGACGTGTTACATCAAGAATAATTCTAAAAAAAGAAAAGCTAGATACAAGTATGTACCCAAAAAAAAAGATTTGAGGGCCATCACCCATTAAAAAAAAAGTGATGGCACAACTTTTTATGTTAGAGTAGCGTGAGATAGTTATCTCATGTAAAATGAGACAGTAATTTTCCATTTATATTTTTGGTTTATTTTTTCGTATGTTTCAGAAAATAATTTTATCTCCTATACACACATAAAAGTGTGTGAGACTAGGGGTGACAATATGGGTTGGCTCGTCCCGACCCGCCACTAACATGCCAAAAACGTGGCGGGACGGGTGGGCCCTCTATTAAATATAGGCTGAAAAATGAACCCACCCTGTTTTATGGTTGGTTGGCGAGTCAACACGTCAATTAAAAAAATAATTAAAATTTAAAAATAAATTATATTTTATGAATTTTTCTTATTTTATTTTATTTTATTTCACATTTCTCTTAATTTTTTTTCAGTCTCAATCTTGAATGTATATAAATATTCAGTTAAACATTCTTTAGGAACTCATTTGTTTCCTTAAATTGGTAACATTTGTCATAAATGTTCTGTCATAGAGAACCGTAAATGATATACTGTATAGCATGCGCTCAGAGATACCCTATAGATAGGTACCTTGGTTGGCTTATAGCCAATATCTCAATCACTGCGCACAAGTTGGGGTGTAAATGGATCAGACTAGCCTGGCCTGGCCTACATCCCATCCTATATTGAGCCTGACCTGGCCTTTCTGAAAAGTAATGTATACTTCAGCTTACAAGAAAGCCTTTTTAACAAATAGGGCATAGGCCAACTTTGTCAAGCCTGGCTTAAAGCCTTGTAGGCTGACCTATTTAATTTTTTTAAAATAAAATAATATATTTATTCTAGGTGGCAAAGTACCAACCCAAATTTCTTTTGTGCACCACCGCTTCTAAGTGACTTCTCACTCTCGTCTCTAAGTTTCATCTTTGGTTGACCCAGTAATTGTATTTCTTTCTTATTTTTCCCATTTCTTTGACTCTAATTCTCCTCTGATCTACATTATAGAGCTGAGATATTATATTGACTCTTGTTTGTCATTTTTTATTTCTTATGAGAAGTATTTGTGCATGCATGAATGGAACTTTCTTTGCTCTATACAATTATTTTCTTAGCTCAGTATCTGCAGTGGGAGGCCTACAAGGCCTGTAGGCCATATCAAGTTTTCTAATTTTTAAAAAGAGGCCAGACCTGGCCGATAAAACAAAGCCTTTAGTAGGAGAATAGGCCAGATAGGCTGAATATTTTTTTAAGTAGGCTTAGGCCAGGAAGGCCAAAGCGCGACCTAGCCTGGCCCATTTACACCCCTACGCACAAGCAATAGGCTTATAGCCAAGATGTGAGTGTGTGCACAGTGTGGGCAGAAGTAGTAAATGATTTCATAATGTGTACCAGGGGGTCTTAAACCTTGTATTTATAAGGGTTACCTCTTGGGCTGTGTATATCTCCCAGTTGGTACAGGATTCAACTACTCAGTATTAGGGATGAGGGTTCTATCCTCTTTATCTTTACTAATGTTCCACGTTGTTAGGATAATTGGGTCGTTATCCATTAAGGGATTCTTGGATAGGTAGTTAAGATATGGATATATTCCATAACGATAAATAAAATTTTCATTCTTTATTTTTTCTAAGGAGTACTAAGATAAATTTTTTTTCGATATCACAAAAAATTAATAACAAATGAAATACTACTTAATTGTAAAAAAAAAAATCATAACCCATTGGGTCAACCAGCCCCGTGGTGGGTTTAACCCACTTTTAGGCGGGACGAGTTGAAGAGGATTGGTGGTTTCAAAACCCCAATCCAACCCGCCCCGTTTTTGCAGGTTGACCCGCCTGACTCAACCCATATTGTCACCTTTATGCGAGACCTTGTTTTCTTTTTCTTTTTCTTCTCTTCATATGGGCCACACACACTTTATTTATGTATAGGAGATAAAATCTGCTATACTATGAAAAACATTAATACCTAATTTATTTTATTTTTTTTGTTTAAAAAGTTGTAAGAAATGGGAAGCAACATGTCACATGCACAAAGCATTATAATATATATATATATATATATATATATATATATATATATATATATGTATGCTTTAATGTTTCTACAGTGAATGTAAATAAATATCTATATTCACTCCTATAATGACGTTATTTTTGGTTGAAAGATCAAAAAATTATAATGAGAAAAACTATTATAACTCTTAAATAAATTATAATTATAATTATAAAAATATCTTGATTTCTGTCTTAAAATGACATCATTTTGGGATCAGTGTAGATAACTTATCTATATCGACTGCCTAAAACATGAACTCTCACACATGCGCGTGCGCACACACACATACACACTATATATATATATGGGTGAGGATCATTTTACACCAGTGTAAGTTAACTTTCAAACTTGTCAGTTGATCCCACTTATATCTAAGGGCTCTAATTAGTAATATGAGTTATTGGATATGTTTTGTCCTTGGGACAGAGATGTCCAGCCCAATATACTGCTATGTTACTCTTGGATCTAGTGCCCTCTCTAAGGTATCTATGGAAGAAATATCCTTGAGTCAAGCAGATCACTGTGCACAGAATACTATTAACGGCGTTAGCCAATGGGGTGTGTGTGTGCACAGTAACAGCATAACAGTAAGAGAGAGAGAGAACGTACGTACCTTTAGGGTTTACCTTGTATTTATAGAGGTTACCTGTGGGTAGTGTGGATGGGTCTTTGGTGCCTCTGATAAGGACCCAGGCCTGCTTGCTATGCTGTCATATTAGTCATATTAGGATTAGTATCCTTGATGGATTCTATCCGTAATTATACTTGATTAGAATATTGGATTACCCTTTATTGGGCTTGTCATTCAATGGACCCCTTATATGGGTCCATAACAGGATACAAGTAGATCAATGGTCAAGATTAGATGTAAGACTTCTAACTTTTACACCGGTGAAAGAATATCCTGCTCCTATATATATATATATATATATATATATATATATATATATATATATATATGGGGTAAGATATTGTTATACTAGTGTAAGAATAAGATGTCATTGATTTGCTTGCATCTAACGAGTTACATATATAATAAATCAGAACCATTAGATAAAAATAGGATCTACCATTAAATTTTAGAGTGTAACCTATATTGATGTAAAGTGATCCTGACTATATATATATATATATGGGAAAATACTTTCTCATGTTGGAGAAAGTATTTCTCATATCACTCATACGTCAATTTACATGCTTTATTTTTGTTATTTCTTTTTGGTAAAGATTCACCTTAAACATGTTCGTATAAGAAAATTCCTCTTCTCATTGTGAAAGGAGAAAAATAAAGCCATATATATATATATATATAGGGGCAGGATATTCTTACACTGGTGTAAGAGTTAGAAGTCTTACACTCGATCTTGACCATTGATCCACTTGTATCCAATGGCCCACATTACTAAAAAATTTGAGCCCTTAGATATAAATGGGATCAGTGGACAAGATTAAGAGTGAACTTACACTGGTGTAAAATGATCTAATTTATATATATATATATATATATATATATATATATATATATATATATATATATATATATATATATAGGGGTTAAGTGTTTGTCATTCTAAATAACAGATTTTGTATCTTTTTTATTGAAACTATATCGTTTTAAGTGTGTTTTTTATATTTTTTTTCATTTTTATAAAATTAGAAAAAAAATGAAGAAGAGAGAATGCAAAAATACACAAAATGATGTAATTTCATTAAAAATGACATAAAATTGTGTCATTTAAAACGATAAACACTTCTTCATATATATATATATATATATATATATATATATATATATATATATATATATATATATATATATATATATAGGGGCAAAATATTCTTACACCCCAGTGTAAGAGTTAGAAGTCTTACACTCAATATTGACCATTGATCCACTTGTATTTAATGACTCACATTACTAAAAAATTAGAGCCCTCAGATATAAGTGGAATCAACAGACAAGATTGAGAGTATAACTTACCCTAGTGTAAAATGATCCTTACCCATATATATATATATATATGGGACAGGATATTCTTACACCAGTGTAAGAGTTAGAAGTCTTACACTCAATCTTGACCATTGATTAACTTGTATCCAATGGCTCAGTTTACTAAAAATTTTGAGCCCTTAGATATAAATGGGATCAACGAACAAGATTGAGAGTGTAACTTACACTGGTGTAAAATCTACCCTATATATATATATATATATATATATATATATATATATATATATATATATATATATCGGAAACAATTATCAAATAATATTTTTTGTTTCGAACATTAAAAAAAAAAGGAGAGAGATTATGTTAGATCCGTACAAACAGGCACCGCGAACTCGAAGGTTTGACTGTACTTTATGGAACAATTCCGCACCTGAGCGCGGGGAAAGCTAAGATTACGACAAAATTATTGGTTGTCTTTTTCTGAGAAATATTTATCATAAATGTTGATTAACAAATGGGGACTCCCCTGTCCAAATTTTTACTTTTTCTGATTCAACGTTTGATGTTTTACCATGTATATGTTCGTATTGTGGATAAATTATCTGCACCGTTGCATATTAATGAGATAAAAAAAAAAACTTGTTGGTACAAAAACTGATAAGTTAAGGAAGCACATAATCTGGATTTTATTGAGTTTTCTTCCTTACAATTAATTTAGCATTTTTTTTTTTTTCTAAAATCAAGAGGTATCACCACTTAATCACCTCCAGCCAGTTTAATTTATCCTGAGAGTATCTCTCAGATTAAAACACAGTGTGTCTTAAATGGAAGATACAGGGAGTCTTAAGATCATTACAAGAATCGAATCTACAATCGAATCCTTGAGCCACACTTTGCCACCAATATGCGCATACACACCTTGGCTTTTAGCCTTTTGTTTGTGTACAGTGATCTGCCATCATATGCGGCTTTCTTCTCCGTAGACACCGCTAGTCCAAAGATTCAAGTGCAACTTTGATCTGCTAGGTTCAAACATGAGTTAGCTTCTAATTTCACTCCTGTGGTTTGATTAGAGGTTGGAAAGTGGGCGGCACCCCACCCCACCCCACCCCACCTCACCCCACCATCAATCCGTCAAAAAATGAGTCAGTCCGTCCCGCCCCGCTTTTGAAAGTGGACTGAGAAACTCAGCCCACCTCGCCCCGTTTGGCGAGTTGGACGGGTTGGCCCGCCAGCCCGAACTTATTTTACACTGACCCGCCTCGGCCAGCCTAGGCCCGCCATCAACCCACAAAAAAATGAGCCCGCCCCGCCCCGCTTATGAGATGGGTTGAAAAACTCAGCCCGCCCCGCTCTGTTTGACGGGTTGGGCGGGTAAACCCGCCGAGCCGAGCCCGTTTTGCCGACTCTAGATTTGATACGTGGGAGTCTATTTAGTTATAGGTAATGAGCTCGACACATCATTTCGTGTGGCGAAAGTTTATATTTTAATTTTTCTAGAAAAATTATAGGTTTATCTTCTAGAGTTGCTTGATTGTTTCTACAAGCATGTTAATTGTAAATTTGACAAATTTAAGTATATGTTAATAAAAATTACGCTTGTCAGGTTTACATGGTACGATTATGTTTAATCTGTGCGCCGGTCATGAACTTGAATTTGGATCGTGACAAAATCATACTCAGTATAACACTATAACTAACATAGTGCTTAGCATTTAAACACAGTATTCAAGGAATTTATATCCATAATAAACTTAGTATAAGAGTGGAACTTCGTTAATTCAAATGTGTACTTGCAATTTAGAAACATATCATTGAACAGAATTTCACGAATAATCTAAAAAGAATTCATTTAATTCTGGTGCTTTCTTTTCCAACGAGATTGCATCTTTTGGATATAATTCTTCAATGAAGTGTATTTCATCAGAGATTGATGGTGTATGGCAAAGCCAAGACAATCTGTTATTTCACCAACTTCTTGTTTCTACCATTTACTCCGATTTTCTGTTACACTTTTTATGCATCATGAAAGAAAGGAGAAAAAAAAAAAAAAGTGATTCTAAACGAGCAGCTACATGAATAAAGGAAATGGAAAAATTAATAGCAAAATCACAAAACTACAAAGGCAAGACATGAAACGAGACTATTTTCAACTGCTACTAACAGAAACAGAAGTATAAGGGCAGGGACTTGGTGGAACTGTAACAGGAGCTATCCCTTCTAGCATCAACATAACCTTCTTCATTGTAGGCCTGAGAGAGGGATCTTCTTGAAGGCACCAAATAGCTACCATTATAAACCTTTCAAGCCTCTTCATGTCATTGATAGCCTCATCATCATTATCAACCAAGATGTCAATTCTTCTTGCTCTATAGCAGTCATAAGCCCAATCAGTTAAAATGGCCTTCTCTTCATTGCCAAACTCCATATCTACATTTCTTCTACAGCAGATTATCTCCAGAAGCATCACACCAAAACTATAAACATCAACCTTGACAGTGATTGGTGCACTCCTGAACCAGTCTGGCGCAACATACCCTTTTGTTCCTCGAATGCCAGTTTGTGTGCGGCTTTGATTAATCATCAGTAACTTTGCTAACCCAAAATCTGATATTCTTGCATTGTAATACTCATCTAGAAGTATATTTTGTGGCTTTATGTCACAATGAATGATCTGAGTGCAGCATTCCTCGTGCAAGTAAACGAGCCCTCTTGCAATCCCAAAGGCAATCTGGACTCTCTGATTCCAATTTGGTTTGAAATCTCCAAAAAGGAAACTTGCTAAAGTGCCATTGCTCAAGAACTCATACACCAGAATCCGGTGTTGTCCCTCATCACAATATCCAAGCAGGCGAACCAAGTTCTTGTGATGAGTTTGTCCTATCACATTCACTTCTGTTTTGAATTCCTTATCGCTGTCTTTGAGCACTTTGTCTAATTTCTTGACAGCAATAGTAGCCAAATCTGTATTCCCTTTAAAGACAACGCCACAAGATCCCCTTCCCAATTCTTCTCTGAAGTTATCTGTTGCTTGCACAAGCTCTCCATAGGTGAAACTGCGCAAATTGCTCTCTGCAACAACTTTACTGGTGGAATTTTTTTTGTTGTAGTAGAAGAAGAAACCAATACATACTGCAGTGAAAAGAATGAAATTGACAAAGACAGAACTTCCTAGAAGGACTGATATCACAGTTATCAAAGTATCTTGATCTTTTTTATTTTCATTCACCTGTATAGATGGATTTTGAGGACTTGCTGATGAAACATTATTTTTCATCAATTTAATGAAAGCGAATCCTCCTACCGCTCTATCCTCTCTTCCATTCGAGAGAGGCAGCTTCTTCTTCCAGCAGGTATCAGTTCTAAAAATAGAAACAACACATAAGCAATCTTGCAAGCAAGAGGCCTTGCAGTCTTCTGAATTGTAAGGTTTATACATTTCATAATCTGATGTAGGCCAATCAGTGTTTGGCAATTCCTTCATGAAGTATAGATCTTCTTGCGAGTTCTGTCCACTTCCTTGACAAACGGGTTCCAAATTTGGTATGCAGCTTCCATACTCATCAGTAGAATCAAGAAGAGAATACCCTTCTGGGCATCTGCAGATTGGTCTTTGGTCCGTTTTGAGAGTGCAGATACTATTGAATCCACAGACTCCACTACCAATACCCTTCTCACCTCCCATAGCCGTGCAAATGTTATCTGGTAATGTCTTCACAACCGTCCAACTTTGATTTGTGCTTGGACTTTTCGGGTGATGTGATATGGTGAAAACTCCATCATAATTGAGGGTTGCTCTGTAATAATAGGAATCGGTTGAGAGCACATCATTTGGGCTAGTGATATAAACCCTCTCACCGCCCCTTTTCTCTATGTACAAGAAGCCTGATTCATCAAAAATCACACGGTAACCAGAGTTTGTGCCATTGCCAGCATCACGAGTGCCACTTATGTAGTAAGCTTCGTAAGTATAGTTGGTAGGCAAATTTATAGGATTAAGCACAGCATTACCATCCTCAAGCAAGCGAAATTGAAACCTTCCTTGTGAGAAGTTGGTATCTTTCTGTCGAGATGTAAGGGTGCCTTTTAACTCCATAATTTGAGTTGGCAACAATGTATCGATTGGACGTGAGAAAGTGTCCCACAAGACCTGTGAATTCTTATCCAGAAGCTGCAAGTTTCCTGTATTATTCATTAGTCCATAGGAAACTGTACCTGATATGGACTGTGATCTCCATAGCTCAACATCTCGAGGACTAGTCAGCACTAGTCCACTGTTTTGATTTATCTTTAGCTTCGATCCTTTAGGTGCAGGGTTGTCTCCATTTGCATACCAAATGACAGTCCTCTCAGGTATGTTGTGGTACCATATGGCAAGCAAGAAAAGGTCATTCTCAAGTTGATGAAATCCCAATGCAAACTCTCCTGATGGAGAAAGCCATTGATCACTCCCGTTACCAGCAACCAGAGTCTCACCAATGCTAACATTCTGAGCAGAGACAATGACATAAGGAAGCAAGGGGAGAAGGATAAGAATAAGAATATTAAGACTCATCTTTGGTGTCAACAATAAAGCTTGAGGCCAATTACATGAACTATTAATTTTTGTATCGGAATTTAAAGAAATGGTGTTAACTTCAAAAAGTTTTACAAGCCTTTTCTTTTCTAGCAAGCTACAGTGCATGTTAGCTATTGTCATATACATGGAATCTTTCAATTGTTTATAGTTGAAAACTTGAAACGTAGGTGGTTTAATTAATATAACTTTACAAGAACACGCGCTACTCCGACTTTTAAAAAGACTTTGAAATGTCTCAATTGACAAGTCAACAGTGCCGTTTAGAATGGTGCTGCATGAATGGTTGAATGGGCCAACCGTAGATTTGGCGTCACGGTGGGTTCAACTGTAAAATTTTGTTGTTTGAATCTCATGGATAGTCCCTTTAGAGTTTAAATTAACATCATACTCGGTCAAGATCAATAACATGAAATTTGAAAACCATAGGAAGGTAATAGGGAGTTTCCAAAATTCATAAAATTCAAATGAAGTTGTTCTAGAATATGAAGCAAACAGGTGAATAAGACATTTACCAGAGTATTGAAGAGTTCCAACTATCAACAAACCAGCTTGCTTTTGCAGCTGTACCTCAACACGTTTGGATGTATTTTTCTCCTAAGAAGTTACTCTCTCTCTCTCTCTCTTTTTTTTTTTTCAAAATAAAAAATATTTTTTCACTTTATATATGTATTTGAGTATAACTTTAAAGAAAACTGACATGGACCTCACACATGGGAGATAGAGGCCCAATCCCATAAAGACCCAAAGGGTCCAGAAAGCCCACTATGACTTGACCACAACGGCAACCCATCTCGCGTAGAAAGCGTGGGACCTCAGTTGACTAGCAAGCTAAACGTGACTTAACATGAAAGGAATCATCATTGCCGAGATCAATAGCCACTTGAACCCAATGAACAAATGGTAGCTCCATCTTGCCACCACGTCTAATGAATCTAGCTTGACCATAGACTTGTCCACCAAGGAATAGCCTGAGAGAGGCCACCCCTCTCCGCCAATTAAAAGAACACCTAAGGTGAGAAAAAAGAAACTGTACATCATCAAAATATAATTAGATCTATCATCCACACGAGATGAACAAACATGTTCAACTGTGGGAATGGGAGAAATTTTCCACTCGTGGTTAGTGGCTTTGTCCATAGTAAGGTGAACATCAGTCGCAAGCTTGGTAGCATATTCCATAATATTGAACTTGGAGACTACTTTTAGAACATCCTTGGACACCCATACGAGATTATCTGCAACTCGCACGCCTGAAACAGAAGCACTCTTCTCTGAAAATTTTCTTTTAGTCATAATGGCCCTGAGAGAAGAAGAGGTAGAACAAGTGTCAAAAGAATAAGAAAAGGAACTGAAATAAGAGCTAGCAGATATCTCACTTATCTTGCGCTTTTTGAAAGGGTAACCGGTAGGATAAATAGCATTTAAAAGGACAGGACTAGGACCGCGAGACACTCAAGAAGGGGACTTGACTCAAAATAGGAACTACTGGAATTACAATAGGTCCCTTGGATTTTGAAAGGATATGGGTACTGGAGCTAGCTTGCTCATGAATATTGCTTTGTTGGGAAAGAGCCCTAGGCAACTCGCGAGAACCCTCATGATTCTCGCAGGATAAAGCCCTAGCTCTCCTAGAGCCCACGAAGAATACCCACCTCCACAGCCTCTCAAAGAAGGAGGAAGCGTCCCTAAAATCTCAGCCTTCTCACATGGAGAAATACCTTCGCTAGTTAACCACCACTCTCCTATGCTAAGGGATATAAAATACCTAGGCCTAGGTACTGGTCTAGGCTCTTGACTAGTTGAGCCAGACCTCTCCATCATTCTAAAAAATGCAAAAAATGGATGTTCAAAGGACATTTTGCAAGCAGTTGGACAACTACCCAGAAATGAACCCAACAACAAGAAAAAACAAATGTCCAGCAAAAAACACAAAGGAAAGTGAATGAAATCAACAATACAGGCAACTACAAAAGATTTGAAACCCAGACAGTTACCAGCATACAATGAATTTCCAAAAATATGAAGAAATGAAAGAAAAAGTGAAAGAAAATACCTGATATTTATACTTGAACTATACTCGAATTCGAAGAAGTTCTTCAGAGCACACGAACGCAGAACAACTTACTCACTTACAATGAGTCACCAAAACAAATCCACAATAAAGTAGGATGCATGGTCTATGAAGTAAGGAAGGAAAATGAAGGGAATGATAATTGTTCCTTCCAAAACCTTCAAGGTTAAAAAACTTGAAAAGTCACTGAAAGGTATATGTGTCAAAACACATCAAAGGTAAAACGGTGAATGAAAATAGTGGGGCACATGTCAAAAGGAAGCTAAAGGGTTAATACGTTAGCCCACACGTAATGAAGGTCACATTTAATGCCACTGACGGATTAAAGTCACATCAACCACTTTTTAAGCAGCGAAATGATGGATATAGTGCAAAAATTGTGAATATGTGGCAATATCTCGCCACAAGTGAATGAACATCTCACTCCCTCATGCCTGCAGCATAAGCAGCAAGCTGGGGGACTTTTGATCTGGACCTAACATATTCGAGAGGACCAATCCCATAAAGGCCCAAAGGGTCTAGAAAGCCCACTATGACTTGACCACAAAGACAACCCATCTCACGAAGAAAGCGTGAGATGTCACTTACTTGACTAGCAAGTTAAACATGACTTAACATGAAATGAGTCATCATTGCCAAGATTAACATCTCATGCAAGTTAGCCACCACCTGAACCCAATGAACGAATGACAACTTCAGCTTGCCACCACGTCTACTGAATCTAGCTTGACCATAGGCTTGTCCACTAAGGAATAGCATGAGAGTGGCCATCCCTCTCCACTAATGAATATGAACATTGTCCTATGAAAGACGGTATGAAACAAGGCGCTCTACACTATAAATACAGAGAGACATTTATCCCAGGTATGATATCTCTCTTTGAATACTTGAACCATATTGAAAATTGAACTGACTTAAGCATATGAGGGCCTTGCAGGTATCTTTCACAATCTCGTCCAAACTGCCCAGATACACAAAGTGCAGATCAATCATCTCGCTAGAGCATCCCAGCATCTCGGCAAGCTACCTTGTCATCTTTCTTCTCTTCATCAATATCATCTACTTCAACTATGTGTGGTCAGACACAGCCCACCCAATATTTATTGGACTGATAAAAAACAAAAGTAAAAAAAAAAAAAAAAAAAAAAAAAACAGTACTATGCTCTTTAAAAAAGATAAAATACTGCTTTGTATTTGGAAGTGCATTTTTAGATGTTAATCTATACACAAAATAGCTCAAACTTTTAAAAATAATTTTTTTTCTTTGCAAAAGCACATATAAACATAACATATACTTGCTATATCACGAGATAATAATGATCATCCGTACATTTATTAATAGCATTGAATAAAGGGAAATAATTTTTGCATTTATTGCAGAAATCATTTTTCTGCCTTAGACACAAATTTTTTTATCTCTCTCTCGTCATATTTCTCTCTCATTAAAATATGGTTTCTCTCTCTTAAATTTAGTGTCTAAGGCAGAGAGAAATTTCTACCACAAATACATAAATCATTTCCGCTTGAATCAATCTGGTATTATGCATAGCCCATATCACAAAGTAGAATTGAACGGTTCAAGATTTTGGAAGTGAATCGTTGAACACTTCCATGGTAGAGAAAGAAAAAGACAAGCATCATGTAGCGAGAATGAGATGCACTTTATTTTAGTTTTTCACCTTTTCTATTCACTGTCAACAAGTGAAAATCAGAAAACTTTCAACATCGTTAAAGAACTTGTAAGGATAACAAAATAAGAGGTGATTAGGTTGCTTCCAACTTTCACACTGCATAACAAAAGCAAATTTTCAAAGCCAATTACGACGATATCTAGCGGAACAAATATCAAAACAAGGTTACAAATATAGAAGGACTTCATATTCAAGCACAAATGGAAAATCAAAGGGCTAGCACAATTCAAAACCAAAGATATTAATCACGAAAAGAAAAAATGCAAGATACCCCAAGATGGTAGAAAATCGACTTAAAAATCACCATTAAATTAACTTTTTTGATACAAGCTAATCCCCTTGCATACAAAAATATATTTTCAGATTTGCATCATCAGATAACAAATTAATTCATTAACATAATGTCATGGTATTTTGTGAATCTGAACACAAAATATTACATAAAACAATTGTTTTAGAGAAATTGTTAATCATATTTCCAGATTTTATGCAGTAAAGAAAGGGATAAGTTATATTTACAAACTCAAAATTTACAATCTCTTATAAACTACACTATGTAGTGTGGGTAATACATGCCTAAATAATATATACTACCCATAATACATAATATAATTTGTAAGAATTTATAAACTTTGAATTTATAAATATAACCATTCTCGTAAAGAAATACTAAAAATTTTCATTTTAACATTCATTTTAACATGTAGAAAATCGACACAATAGCATTACAGATCTGCTTTGATCAAGGAAAAAGCCCAATCAGCTCCAACTCGGTGCAGATGACTGTTTAAAACTTGCCAAGTTAGCAATGCTAAGTAAGTAATCCATAAACTATCACCGTGCAGTCCAGATTTCAACAGGGAGCCGTATGTGTCATAGAAGCTGTCAATGATATCTTCAACTTGGATATATGCTTATCCTTGATTAGGATAAAAATATATACGAACCAAAAATTTCAACAAAAACTACCATATTCAATGATTCAATCTAATAAAAAAGTAAGAGGAACTTGGCCACATCTGTCTTTTCTATCATGATAACTGACACTAAAGGTAAAGCATAACAAATGGGGAAGTCTCTATAAGGGAATAACGGGTCATGTAAAGAAGCAGCCTAAATTTACATTGTAAGACAATTTTTTTTTTTTTTTAAATAAAGCCTTGCTCTTACAAGAAATACAACTACCACAGTTCTTTTCCTGCTTCAAGGCAGAGAACCAAAATTGAGAAAAGATACATAAAATTGCATGCCCTTTACTGGAAATTCTCACTTGGCACCCAAAGTAGGGAATTGTCCAGGATCTTCAATTGATGGAGCTGATACATTGCCGGTTGCATAGCCAGCATAACCTCCTCTTGCACCACGGCCACGGCCTCGACCACGCCCACGCCCACCTGAGTTATAGTGACTTTCACCATCAGCAGGCTTCAGAAACTCGTTGATGCTGACAGACTAACAACATGAAATCCAATAAACAAAAAGGGGGGGAAATCAGTACAAAATTTATAAGCAGGAAAAAAAACTGAAAAATCATAGGCATGTCAATAATAAAATTCAACATCCTTTTAATAAGAAAAGTAAAGGGATGAAATCTACACCACTCGTCGGACTACCAATATTACAGACGAATACAAGAAAGCAGATAGAAAGGAAGCTGAAACAAAGGAATTGTCAAACTGGAGTTTCTAGGGTGCAATGACAACTTAAGTTTCTAACTATAAAGCTTTGTGCAGAAATAACATATTTGATAAATGCAAAACTAAATCCAAGAAACTTCCAGCAGACGCCCATGAAATGATCAGAATTAATGGAATTTTTAATTAAATGCAACAAAGTCACACCTTCTTGGATTTCTCTTCCTTTTCAAGAGCCTCTTTCCGCTTATCCTTATCAGACCCCTTGACAGAATAAAAAATCCAAGTGTCAAAGAAGTCATCGGTTACAAGTATTACACATTGAATATGATAATTACAAACTAGAAGGAAAATATAAAGCCAAAAATCTTACCAGTTTAATAAAGATGTCATAACTTTCTTTCTTACTTGACAACTGCTGCATGGATTCAAAAACTTTAGTATCTACCTTTCTCTCCTCAGTCTTAAGCGCTTGCAAAGCCTTCCTTTTTTCTTCAAGTACTTTTTCATATTCCTCCAGAGTCATCTCCTATTAACCAGGATAAGCACTATTAAGCTATAAAATTAAACAAACAACAGCACTAAGGAATTCCACATACAACAATGAAATTGAGGAACTATGTTAAATCACTATGAGAATAATACATATACCTAACACCTTTCAAACAAAGATGAAGATGTAACCCGAAATTGAAAAGAAAAAATTTCAACTTTTGATAATGGACAATAAGCAAAGAGATACTTACTTCTAATGGTAGTCAAAATGATAATGTCAAAAACAACGCACTCAAAATATAATATCATAGCAGTCTAATCAATGAGTTAGATAACCGACAGCAGACATTCGAAGCTAAATTTTATTGGATTATCATTGATTCAACAATTATTTTATTTCTACTGTTACTTTTTTTATTTTATTTTTGTTCTTTTTTCTTTTCTTCCTCTGATGTTGATGTTTCTTTTCTTCCTCTGAATCTTTTCATGCTTGTCATTTGGTTTCATCTGCCGCCGAGCCCAACTAGTTAGGGATAAAGGTGGTGTTGTTGTTGATGTATCATTGATTCAACAACCTCCAGAACCTTCCTGTATCTGTTACAGTCACTTAACATCTATGATCACATTAAGAGTTATAATATCATATTATGCCAGTTATATGACACAAATCTTCTGTTTGTCTAATGATAATGCTAAAAACAAAGCACTCAAAATATAGAGAAGCAAATAAAGGGAAAATAGAGACACTTGAATTAAACTTGAACAATAACCTTATCCTCAGGCTCTTTTTCTTCAGCATCATTAGCAGGACTCTCCTTGTTTCCATCTGCTGCAACATCTTCCTCACCTGAAGGCTTCTCATCACCCAAATTCTTTGCAGTTTCATTCACTTCCTCAGTCGCTCTAAGAAAAGTTTAAAAGAAAAGAAATACACAACAATAACAATTCATGAAAATAGAATAAAACAAACCATGTGCAGAGGATTGTCAATAAAAATATGAAAGTGCAGGGTTGCAAAAGCAGGGCTTACTGCGAATCATCAGTTTGCATTCCCCAGTTCCCTCTCCCAGCACCTTCACGTTTGAATTCATTTCTGAAAATAGGACATGTCATGTCAGTAGAAGAGAGAAAAATCAAATTAATAACCCAGCATTAGTTATAACATTCACCCGTGGCCAGTCCCACTGACACGTTCAAATACTCTTCGTGGGCGCCCATCTTCACCACCTTCTCCATTACTGAAATCCCCACGTCCACCACGACCACCACGATGAGGACCACGACGCCCACCATAACCGAACCTTTCCGAGGGCTTCCCAGTTTCTCCTTCGATAAAGCCTTGACCAGCAGTGGCAGTGAATGAGTTCTCATCATTGGAAGCGTCACGGTTGAAACCACCACCACCACGAGCACGACCATATCCACGTCCACCTCCACGCCCCCCTCCACGTCCTCCACGAGAAGTTTCATTTCTTGCCTCCCTCACTATCACAAGAATGAAAAGGAATGTAAACAAATGAAGAGAAGAACCATGAACGAACATCAAATCATCAAAAAGATCACTTAGAGATCAGAAGAGCCATAACAAAATACAAATATAAGCCTAACTGAAATAAAAGAAAATTGATAAAGAAAAATTATCTTTGAAACTTTAAGCAATCTCTGATTCCAGTGACATTTCCTAGTCTACTATTGAATAATCAGTATAAACAAATGTAAAAGATTGTTAATACAAGGTAAAATTACTATTCAAGTATTAGTTTGAACTTCATCTTCAAAGTCCCAATAAAAAAAATTCAACAGCAGAGAAAAACTTAAAATATCATAAGTATTTGTTTGAACTAATATTTTGAAAAATTATCTTCGAAAGATGTTACTCTAATCACCCCCCGCCGTCCAACTTTACTTAAACCTTAAAGTGAGCACAAATTGTAAATTGCACAAATAAAATGGAGTATAAGTAAAAATGAGAAGTGTGTTCGTTCACATGCTAAAGCAAATTCAAGAAATGAATCTAAAGACAATAAAATATAAAACAATGTAAGAAACGATATTTAAAAGTTGAAAAAATAAAAGATGATGCAACAATAAGATAAGATATATGAATGTGGGAAAAGCAGAAATGAACGAGAAAAAGAGAAAAGTGAAACAAACCAGCTTGATAGGGAGGGGGTGGCTTGGTAGGAAGCTGAGGTTGAGTAGGCTGAGTCTGAGTCTGAGTTGGTTTCTTTGGAGCAGAAACAACCTTGAGTTGCTCAGCAGCGATTCGCTGAGAAGGGTCCTCAGCATCGTCACCCAACAAATCGAAAGGGTTCATGCTTGCCATTTTGGTCACACCAATACCTAAAACCCCAAACAAATTCAAATCCAAATCCTATCTTATCAACAACAACTCTTCTTCCATCATATTCAGCAGCAAAGGAAAGAGAAAGAGAAAGAAGGTAAAACCCTAGCCGCCCAAGTTAGCGTTAGAGTTAGCGAGAGTTTAAGACAGCAATCTCAATTTATTATTACGGAACGTAATTTCCTTCATCTCTCTCTCTCTCTCTCCCTTCCCTCTTTCCTCCCTTATTCTTTTATTTTTTTTAAAAGTTCATCAATGTTGATCGTGATTTATTCTGTTTTTCTTATCACATGTACTTCTCTGATTTATAAAAGGATATATTTTTTTATTATATATGTCCTTATAATTTTTTTTATTTTATAAACTACAAAAGTATATATGATAAATAAAATATCACATAGACATAAGTGCTTATAAAGTAAATCACAAGTACATTAATTAACTTTTGCCTATATTATTTTAAGTGTTTGGTGTTTGTCATTTTAAATAACATAAGTTATGTCATTTTAAAAAAGAGATAGACACAAAAAAATAGAAATCATGGGAGAAAAAAAGTGGGTAGTTTTTTTAATTTAAAATTCAAATACTGTCTCTATCTTAAAATGGCATAATTTTATGTCATTTAAAATGACAAACATTTTTCCCTTATTTTAAATAAATGCTTGTCGACGAACTATTTCAAATAGGTCCAAAATAAACAAATATAGATGTCCTTTCCGGTTAAACATTCCATTCATATAAAATTATTTACTTAGAAAGTTGTCAAATATAAAATAATTTGATTTTAAAATCTTCTCGATTTTAAATGCCTAATTTGTTATTTAGTTAGATTAAATTGACTTGATTTTATTTAAATTATTTGAATGGATGATTTTACTCTTATTAATTTAGTCATTTAATTTATTAAAATAATAGAGACATATAAAAAAATTAACATGTTCACTAATTCAAATCATAATTTTTATAACAAGTTTCAACCATGAAATTAAAAGAAATCAATTGAATTTCTAGTTTTAATGATTTCAATTACAAGAAACTTTTTTGAAAGTCATCCATTGCATAGCTTAAGTATTATGTATGAATCTCTAAAAATAATAAAAATACTAAGGATTTATTGTTTTGCGGAAAAAAAATTTCTGTCGCTATTCACATAAAAGTGAATGATCCCATTAATATTTTCTCTCTTTTCTCTGTACAATGGAACTCATTCACTTTTATGTGAGTGTGATAGAAAAAAAAAAAGAATTCTGCAATAAAAGCAAAAACATTAAACTCAAATACTAATTCAAAAATGGTATGCTTTAAGAAAAATAAATAAACTTTAATATTAATATAAAAAATTGAAAGAAGAAGTCGAGCCTTTATGTTAGGTCATTATTTTTTCCAATTTAAAAAAATACTTTGAACTTATACTTTCAAAATTTTATTTAAATGTAAAATACTGGTGCTGTTTGCTAATAACTTTCTAATATAATACTAAAAAGAGCCAAGATGTTTTACAAACTTCAATCTCCATTTATTACTGGCGCCAAATGTTTTTTGCTTTTCTTACAGTTACTACAAATAAGTTATCTGTAATAAGTCTAATCCGACGTCGTTTTAAAGCGAAAATCACGGTATTTTTGTAATTTTAATTTATTTCAAAGTTATAACAGTCTTTATATTTATAATTTTTTAAGATTTCAATACCAAAACGACCTCGTTTTGGAAATAAATGCAGATAACTTATCTGCAGTAACTGCAGAAATATTTTTCCCTTCTTTTATTATCATATATGTTAAGGTCTGTCTAGAGCTAGCAAAACGGGCTCGGCTCGGCGGGCCAACCCGCCAAACGAAGCGAGATAGGTTGAGTTTTTCAACCCATCTCAAAAGCGGGGCAGACTCATTTTTTGGCGGGTTAATGGCGGGCATAGGTGGGCCGAGGCAGGTCAGTATAAAATAGACTCGGACTGGCGGGCCAACCCGCCAAACGGAGCAGGGAGGACTGAGTTTTTCAGCCCACTTTCAAAAGCGGGGCGGACTGACTCATTTTTTGACGGGTTGATGGCGAGACAGGACGGGTTACCCACTTTGCCACCTCTATCTGTCATCATCAAAAATGTACTTTTGTAAGATAATATTTGTTGCATAGACTTTTTATACATAAAATACACATAAATAACAATGTAGGGATTATTACCAAAAAAAAAAATGCAGTTATTGATTTAGAGTAATAAACGATGATTGGAGGATTAAACTAAAGAATCTGATTAATCTGAAGTTATTGATTAGATTTTTTCCCTGACCTCACAACATTTTTTTCACACTATTAGCTGTTCTCAGGAAAGAAAATTACATTTTTTTGGCGATTGATTTAGAGTAATAAATGATGATCGGAGGATTAAACTAAAATATCTCATTTTCTGCAAGATACGCTATTAGTTGTTCTCAGAAAATAAAATTACAATCAACCACGTGAACTTTTAAACTTTAGATAAGTAATCTTCAAACTTTCTCAAACCAATAAACTAACCTTTCAACCACTAGCAAGTTGAAAACTGTTGGTCACCTGAATTGCAATTGCACATGTTAAATAATACTTGGGACAGTCTATGGAAATAAAATAACATGAGAAAAAATGGTCATTAAACAGCGAAGAAGCCACAATAGCTCATTGCTTCAAAACAGTAAAACAAATACATTAAAAAGACTACATTTTCTCTCTTGTCTGAGAGCAGAACAGGATTTGACTACCATATACAATACAAAAACACACTATACTTTCTTTTTTAATTCCTAGTTTCTCTGTGTTTTCAATTTTATTTTATTTTTAACCCTTTTTATCCCTCATTTCTCGTAACTGGAATATGCCAAACCGAGCAGGCAACTCATGAAGAACAAGAAAGCATGCATACACCAGGTCGATATGCCCAAGCTGGGGGCAAGCGAGCATACTTTTCCATTCCTGGCTGCTCATCAAAAGGATGCTCCATTAATTTGAGCAACCTACGGACTTCTCCAAAATCACCCATTTCTGCAGCATCTATTGCAGTCTGGCAGAGATAGTTCCTCAGAATAAATTTAGGATTCACCGAATCCATCGAGATCTTCCTCTGTTCGTCAGAAATGCCACTGGTAGAGAGCTGCATAACCCCAAAGCAATAATGTAAGATGATAAAAGCACAATTACTCTGGACCAATTGATTTAATCATGCCTAAATTATTACTGCAACTTATGGCAAAAGAAGTTCAACTTCGTATCAAATCAACAATTTCCAAGTAGCAATACTAATTAGTTTTTACTAATAACAAGAAGAAGAAAATGTAGAAAGTGTTCAGTTGATGATTATCGCGACGCTGTAATGAAGATATACAAATCTCATGACACTAATTGGAAAGCCCGATAATATTCAAAGGCATGAGCTAGTTCAACTGAGTAATTGCTCATCTTACTGAAATCTGAATGGAAATTGTGCAATAATAGGATGCACCTAGCAAACTGGTGGTTAAAGATAAATGACCCACAAATTTCACAAGTATTGATCCAAGACTATTCCCCTTGAAACTTCTAGATGGTAAGATGGACCAGAGAATTAATTTCACAGTTAGGCTGAACCTTGTTAAAAGTCAAACTAAGTACTGCAGGCGCTACAAACTAATTTTGGGCTTGAGAAAAGAAATCCAAAAATAAAAAGGGATGAGTTTGCAAATGGACGAGTAACTATAAACAGCATAAAAAAGCACAAAAATAGTCCCAGAGGTTCATTATGAATATACACCAAACCAGAAAATTGATAGAAGCTTCAAGAATGCAACAGACTTGCTGAGAAAAGTTATTCATACACAAACCCTCGAGATACAGAGAAGGAAGAAAAGTCACTGAAAATGCTGTATAATCAGACTAGATGCATTTATTTTTCATTTTCTTATTTTTGTCCACAAGTGCCTTTCTTAACCAAAGGGAAATGCATAAAACAACCGTACCTCATGTATATAGGCTTTCAACCAACTGGTCCATGCTTCCTTACGCTCCTTACCAATATCTAACAGTACTGACTTTAGTGGGATCAACAATTCATCATCTGGAATGCTTGTGTCTGCTTTAATATTTGAAAGTGTACGAAAGAAGTTTGTGTAATCAACTTTATCAACAGCCATATTACTAAGAAGTTTACTAATCAACTGCTTATTATATTTAGGGAGGCCAAGCTTTTTTGTCATTATAACTTGATAATCATCCATAAATCTCGTTCCATATCTGAAAGAAACCAACCATAAGGTGAAACATTTAAAAACAATTCACACCTATTTCTCCTCTAAGTGAAAGAAAGCTATCAGAAGTGTTACTACTAACCTTTCCAAAGCATAATTAGCCTCTTTGTCATTTATTAATTGAGCAGCTGATAGTGTTTTTGTGAACTGTGCAAGATTCCACAAACCAATGTCAGGCTGGTTAGCAAAACAGTATCTTCTACCGGGAAGATCTGTGGTATTTGGGGTAAAACTGGGATCAAAAGCATCCAAAAATCCAAATGGACCATAATCAATAGTAAGACCCAAAATGCTCATGTTATCTGTGTTCAGCACACCATGGGTGAAACCAACCCCTTGCCATCTAGCAATCAAGGAAGCAGTACGCTCAGCAACCTCCACCGCCCATGCTGACATAAATACCATTGAAAAAAAGAAGAGATAGATAGTCAACCATTAAGTTCTACTTTTAAAAAAATCCAAGAAAAGTAACTGATTATGTAAAAAAGATAACGGAATCATGTTGTTGGTAATATAACAAAAGTCTATTGTCCGAGTTTTAAAAGAGCCGGGAAAAAAAATTTAGAAAAGGTAACTGAACCATATAAGACCTACAAAGCCGAGCGTCCTACCACCAGAATCCAAACACACAACATAACCAAACCACTTACTTGGACCTTATGCAAGGTACCCAAATCCAACATCAAGAGTAACTGACCAAACTAAACAAATTGAGCAGAACCCTAAAGCAAATATACCCTGATTCCGAAAGACACACAAGGACATCTGCCAAGACAAGATTGGCTGAGTGTACAACAAAATAATCTCCCTCACCATGACAAAGATGATGCTTCAACCCAAAAGCTTAAGTTGTTAGGTGAGGCTATATTAATAGTTTTATATTTCTCTAACACGCCCCCTCCATAATACTTAATTATTTATTAATTGAATGGGGTAAGGTGAGGATCAAACTCGTGACCACTTGATCACAGAGGCTCTAATACCATGAAAAGAATCATTTCAACTCAAAAGTTTAAGCTGTTGGGTGAAGCTACATTGATGGTTTTATATTTCTCTAACACACGCCACCATGCAGCAAGGGAACAATGCTTCTCTAACTCCCCATATGAACTATAAAGGGTATCTCAACAAATCCAAAGTATGTTCACTCTCTAGTGTAAACACTTACCTACTTCTTTTTAACACGTATATCAATAACCTAGAAGATATAATATGACAAAAGTTCACAACTTTTATTTTAACAAAAAAATAAAAATAAAAAAAGGAAAGAAAGGGAAAAAAACTTTCTTTTCATTTTGAGAAATTTTGAAGTAAACTGAGCACGGAAGTAGATGGTGCACATATTCGTTGTTTTTTGCCATCCAAAGTTGTGTAGCCTCAACTCTTAATTACAGAGACAGGAGGCTGTGATGCCCCAGCAGCAGATACTGAATAACATAAGCAGAAAACACAGCCACACAACCTCTACACAGTCATTTTTACACCACAGTTTGATATCACAATATAATGAAGGCAGCAGTATAATCCAGAAGACATAAGCTTGACTGCTTAAAGATCCAAATATTTCACTAGTTCGGGAGTTGGTTCAGATTGTAAAATCTCATTGCCTTAAGTTTTAGAATTTTTATGTTTAGCATGCGGTCTGGTAGAGTTAACTTAGTTAGTATCACATTTCCAGTCCTAGGGTAATTTTTAGTAATTTCATATTAGGTTCTCAAAGTCAGGAACTAACATTGTCCATAAAAGGGATTTAGAGCCTGTTTGGATGAGCTTTTTTTTCTTCAAAAGCTGCTTTTTTTAAGAAAAAAAAGTACTTCTCGAAAAAAGTCTGTTTGGATGACTGCTTCTAAAAAAAGTAGAAGTCATAAAAAAAGCTAAAAACCTACTTTTTTCGGAAGCTAAAATTTTTAGCTTTAACAAAAAGCAGAAGTCAAAAGCCAAATATTTTTTTCAAAAATCAAATATTATTTAAAAAATCTAAATAGTTGTAACTTTTATAGAAAATACTTTTAAAATAAGGAAGTGATAAAAAGGACTTTCTTGAGAAGGCAATACAAACGAGCCCTTAATCTTGTAAACTTCTCCTTAATATCTCAGTTATTTGGGCTGTTATTTATGTTTGTAGCAGCTAGCTTATTTAACCAGCGCCTTAACTTCAGGATTACTTGGTCCCCAGGTTTAAACTAGTCATATTTCATGTATTGAGCTTTACAAAGAGAAGAATTAATGAGGTGATTAGGCTGACTGATATTAAAATTGAAGTACTAGATAAGCCCTCAAAAGTGCTTATTCAGTTCAAATTTCAAACTGAATGTTACATTGAGAAATTATGTGGCCATTCATTGTAAATTTTGTGGGGGGGAAAAGTCACTAACTACCACCAATTATCCCAAAGAGATTTTTTTTTTTACCTGCATACTTGTTTGAAGTAAGATCCACAACAGAATGATCTTCATCGCCAGTGCTGAAAGATAAGCTTTCACTCTTATTCATGTTCTCAATATGAGGAAAGTGGTGCCTAATAGCATAGTCTGCCAAACCTTGAACAAGACCAAGGTCCTCATTCCCTCTGGAGGCATGTATTTGGTATGACCCAAAACGCAGAAAAGATTGGGCAACTCTGCAAACAATTGCACCAGGTTCTTCCTTTGGATTGCCACTGCATTTGTGATATTGACACATATTCATGTAATTAATTTTTCATGCAGAAAATACGCTTTTGTAAACCCAAGGTTTCAATCTCCACTACCAGTTTTTCATCATATAAAATTAAAATAAATTAAATCCTTAATTTCTTTTTCTTTTTACTTTTTTCGGTGAACAAAAAACTTAAGTTCTACTACGCATGGAAAATAACACAATTTTCAAGAAAGAATGATATTGAAAATGCTGAGACATAGGACATTTTCTTCATAACATATATGGTATATAGGAAAAAAAGGATTCATTATGTCTGTCATTCATTCTTTGAACCTCAAGAGTTTGTACAATAAGAACTCAGTCATCATCTAATTACGCAAAGGCTGGGGTTTGTTGAGCTAGAGGTATTAAATAAAATAGTAAAATGAGATACAGGTTACATAAAAAGTCAGCATTATTGAAAGTTTAGTGAGCATACTCATAGAACATATCTCGGGTGACCAGCTTTCCAGTGGTCACAAGACAAAGGGCACGAGTTGTTGGTATCCCCAGGTGGTGGATTGCTTCACTACAAAGGAACTCCCTGATGCTGCTACGTAGCACTGCAAGGCCATCAGCAAACCGACTGTAAGGAGTCTTCCCAGCACCTTTAAGTTGCAGTTCCCACCTTTCAGATTTTGAATTCAGTATCTCCCCTAGCGTAATTGCTCTACCATCACCCAACTGCCCAGCCCACATACCAAATTGATGTCCACCATAGCACTGAGCATAAGGCAACCTGTATAGATGAAGGTCAATCATGGGTAATTGTAGCATTATTAACCAGCCTAAAAATCTGCTGACATATATACAACACTTACGCTCCAACCAAAAGTGATGCACCAGAGAAGATAAGGGGAAAATCCGGCCTTTCAAATCTGAAACTCAAACACAAGAATGGTTAGTAATTGAAGTGAAGCTTCCTGGGCACATGATTGTGCGTACAAGAGAGATGGAAATAAAAATTACTGATGACGACATCCAGAGTATTCAAAGTTAAAAGATTCATTACAAGGTAAAAAAAAATAGCAATGCACGTGACTATCAGAAATTACTCAAATTAGTGGTTAATCCCCGAACAAAGATATGCTTCTGATATATGGCCTCTCCATACCACCAAAGAGAACAAAGATTTCATGTGTTATATTCCAGGTGTCTTTTCAATGGAATGAAAATTTTCAAGATCAACCCAAAAACTCGAGATTTTGGTTATTTTACTTACCCTAATGATTTTTTTTTTTTTATTTTATGAAGGGAGCGAACTGGAGCAGTGGTAAAGCTGTTCTTTCATGACTGAAAAGTCATGGGTTCGAATCCAGGAAACAACTTCTTTGCAATTATGCAAGGGTAAGGCTGCGTACAAGGATTACCTTCACCCCACACTCGCTAGTCGGGTTTAACGAGGAGTGGTTTATGATGGGAATCTTTTGGTTATTTGCCATTTTTGGGTAACTATAAAACAATAAAAGTGCTTTTAGGATACTATATGGATTAGGAAATCTATGGAAGATTGCTTAATTGAGTCTCTAATATGCCACTATAAAAGGGCCTGCTAAGTGTTGAACAATATACACCGTATATTTTCACTTGGGGATATTATTAGAAGTATTTTGCTCGTTCTCTGGTGAATTTCAGAATTTCCAACTTTTGAGTCCAAGGTTGTCTTGCTACAGAACAGACCTCAGAACCAATTTATGCAGAGGCAAGTGATGCACGAGTAAATATCTTTCTCTTTGTTTACATATTATTTTATTGTTTTCCTTTCTATTATATAATGTGCTTTTTAATGATTAATGGAATGAGTTTAGACAATTAGACAGGAGTTGTTTGTTGGGCTGAGCCTCTCTATGTATTCAGCCGTCATATCGTGATAAATATTTCAATTATGAAAATACTTACCTCACCCTAATTCTCTAGTTCTCACTTAAATTTTCTCTGCGAAGAAATTGCTGTCTATCTATTTTCTCTGCATCTCCAAGACATGGCAAGCAACAAATTGTCCATAGGTGACAAGAATATCGGAATATGGAATTGTACTCATTGAACATAATTTTTTATTTTGCTACAGAATTTAAATTTTATTCTGTTGTTAAGAACAATATGCATTTGGCAAATAGGAATCATTCATCCAATATCATGAGTTAATAAACGTAACTCACTCTTTATGGTCCAAATCAAGCAAGTCAGCAACTGGTTCCGACCATGCTACTAGTTGAGGATCATCTACTTCAACTGATGGTGATACTTTTGTATAACAAGCATGCAACACCTGAAATGACAAATATACAACAACCAAATAAATTCACCTCAAAATATCAGATTTTGCGTTTCATTTAAGACTATATGATCCTTTCCCCTTCCTTGCCTTTCGAGAAAGCAAATCCGAAACCTAAATTCCTTTTCCATTCAATTATCCATACTTTGCTAGCAGTAACACCCATAACAGATTCAAATTAAAGAAAAACAAATAATAAGATCCAAAAAAAAAAAAAAAAAAAAAAAAAGAATGGTGGGAAAGCACACCTCTCGGGGAAAAGAATCGGTTCTGGGATCGGCAGGTAATGCTCTAACGAAGGAATGGTCCCAGTTGAGATCTTCGAGCTTCGAGCTATGACGATGGTTTTGCAGATTGTGATTCTTCAAGTCTTGGGTGACAGATTCGAGCGAAGCCGAAAATCCCTGCTCCATGGTAGCCCTGACTCGGCATGCACTCGGAGGGTAAAATTGGAAATTCCTCCTGGAACGTCGGAGGTAGGAAGAGAGTGAGAGTGATGCGGTTTTGGGAGGGAAAGGGAAAGGGAAAGGGAAACGGGTGAAGAGCATAACCATTTCCATTACCATCTTCTCTTCACTATTTGTTGACTGTGGTTTCGGGTCAATCACTCTAATCTCGGGTTGGGTTGGGTTGATTTGATTTGCCTCATTTGGGTCGGTGGCTGGCATGCTTAAACGTGGACATCCCTTGTTTGTTTATTATTTGATTATTTTTAGGAAAAAAAACAAAAACAAAATGGGGTTAATATTTTCCAAGATAATTTTATCTCCTAGAACTAGAACTATAACTGATTGAACTCCATTTTTTCTTTTTTTTTGTGAATGCAAAAAGTTAAAATTATTTCTATATTGCAAAAGAAATATTAAACATATACCAAAATGGGATTATTATTCTCTTGTAAGTTGGATATAATTGTATGCAAACTATAGATAATTTTATGGGAAATAATACTCTCATGCCACATGAGATACTCTCATTTTTCTGCATAAATTCATTTTCCGTGCCAAATAATTTTTCTTTTCTTTTTTAATATAAAATATGGGACCCACATTTAACTTCTCTCTACTTTTTTTCTCTCCTACAATTCTACAACGTAAGAAAAGCTAAACCCTAATTTTATATGGTGCACTCGTAAAAAAGTAGTTCTCTTTTTTTTTTTTATTGGATGTTACCAACTTTTACATAAATGCAAAAGTTTTTTCTCTTCTCGATTGGATCTCACCTATTTATTTTTATGTAATTATCAAATATATATATATATATTTTTTTGGAGGAGAAGCATTAAACTTATAAGCCTTAAATTGTAAACCTATATTATAGGTTTAATATTTCTCATGTAAAATAAAGATAATTTATCTCTTGTATTCTTATAAAAATGAGTGGACCATAATTTTATTTCCTAATTTCTCTTACTTATTTTTTTTGTAAACTGATCCTAATTACTTCTTTGAGACGAATTAGAACTTTCGGTATTCTCACGAGTTCGACTCTTTGAATCGCTTATGTAATTAATCCAGAGTTCGAGTGCGAGTCCAAAGATTATGGTACTTATCCCTTAATTTATCCCCACGGGTTCTCTCACCCATTTTATATGAGTGCAAACTATAAATTATCTTCTATTTATAGAGAAATATTAATCTCACTTTGATGTGAATTTAATGTTTCTTCATAGAGATGGAAATATTTTTATCTCTTTTTTTTTTCTTTTTTTTTTATAACAATATTTTTATCTCTTTCGTTCACATAAAATATGTAAATTTTACTTTTTCTTCCCTCGGTCCTAAATTATAGTAAAATTAAAAAATTGCCCCAAACATTTTGAAAAATCCTAAACCCTTCTCCATTGGAATCACTAGGCTGAATGCCTGAAAGCAAGACATTGATCGCGTTACATTACCCTCTATTAAGCCTTGAATTCAAATCTTCGTTCAGCTTCTGGGTCCGCATTTAGCTGCGAACTGTTCCCAATTGCTCGCTTTTTCCATCGTTAACAGCGGTGAGGAGCTCGTGTACTTGAACAAGTTGATTGGTCGGTTTTGTGATTTGGACGCTTGGGCACCTCAATGGAGTTTGATCTCTCCGATAGCAGTGGTGGGTCATTCCAAAATTTTTTTTTTTTTTTTTTTTGTGGGGTGGGGGTTATTTTTTCTGTGTAGTTTGTGTTGTGTGGTTTCTAGGTATCCAGGACCTTAACCTTTTGTTTATGATGAAATTGTGTTTTTACTTTATTCTGATTATTTCATCTTTTTACACTAATTGAACTTGGGTCAGTTTCTATGATGACATTGGACTGAAATAGCACTATTGCTACTCTTATTCCTGAAGAAACCGTTTTTGCTTCTGCTGTGATTGTTGCAACTGCAAGTTGAAGCTTTGTTGCCTGGAAATGCAACATTGTGGACTTTTCATTTGAGATGTTGACTCAATATTAAGAATAATAATAACAGCTGCTTTCTGAATTGAATCTAAATTCATTGGTATACTTTTTTCCTCACAAGTCACAACCTTATACTTGATAAGAGAAAATGCCTCTGGTAAATTAAATCTAGGCCTCTTGCAATCCATGTCTCTGCTTACTTTTGGCTTTCTGCACAACCTTTTTTCAGTTTTTGTTTCCCCTGTTAACCTAAGGGTTTAAGGAAAAGATTAAATATAATCAACATCAAGAACACCTTTATCCCAAACTAGTTGTGGTCGGTGGACTAAATTTGGAACAGTAATAATCCCATTAATATCTTACTAGGTCATGACAAAGATGCAACAACTAAGGCAGAAATTCTGTTTAGTTCCTTATCTAGCATAGTCATCTTCAATTTTCATAGGCATAATTGCTGTGCACAATGTTAAGTACAGACCATAATAGTGGTCTGCACTGCTGTCATAACTTTTCCATGATAAAACTAAATGTCGTAGAATGAGATAAGTGAACATTTGAGCTGTGACAATGATTATTATAGGTAAAAAAATTTCTGTTCCACTCTACATTATGGCTTTTGTATTCAAAAGGTTGCTTGCATATCAATTTCCATAATCTGAAACACCTGCAGGAACAGATGATGATCTTCCTCCTTCCCAGCGAAGTAGATTTCAACGTCCAGAGAATGCTGCTGGAAATGGAAGATCAGCAATTGTAGGCTCTGGTCCATTTCCTAGGATGCAGAATGACATGGAAACCCAGATCCACAACATTGAGCAAGAAGCATACGCCTCTGTCCTGCGGGCTTTCAAAGCACAATCTGATGCAATTACTTGGGTATCCACGTCTTAATTCATTGGTTCAGCTTTCTGTAAATTGTGTTGGCTAGAATTAACAATGAGTTTTTGTTCCTATGCACCTTAGGAAAAAGAAAGTTTAATTACAGAGCTTAGGAAGGAGTTAAGAGTATCGGATGAAGAACACAGAGAACTTCTATCCAGAGTCAATGCCGACGACATCATCCGCAGGATAAGGTCATATTATGTTTCGCCGTATTCTACGGAGCAGTTTCTGTATACTATTGAACAAAATGTGGTTTGTTCAACATTTTGATATGGATTGTAATCAATTGTGCTATTAGGGAGTGGAGAAAGGGAAATGAACTCCAAGCTGGCATAGTAAATACTGCTCAACAAGTTCATGACCGCATACCCAGCCCTACCGTTTCAGCATCTTGTAAGAAACAAAAGACATCACAATCTGTGCCTTCATTATCCTTGGGAGCACCATCCCCAGCAGCTCATGAATCTATGCAGCCATCATCTTCCGCATTGAGGCATGGGCCTCCATCAGGACCAAAGATCAAAAAGCCAAAATCAGTAAGTGTTTTGGTTTTGGAATATTAGGAAAACAAGATACTGATCTTTACTTCCTCTATGGTCATTGTTTTCCTGTTCTCAAATAATTATAATAAAAAAATTCATTACTAGTGCATCCTCAATGAAGTCCATACAGTTCCCTTCTACAGGTCATACTAACAGAAGCCAGGTCACTAATCGGGGGGGTTCTTCAGGTGCCTTTGCAGCAAATGAATCTGCTGAAGCAGCCTCTTATCATCCTTGGATTGGAAGGAAAGTTTGGACAAGGTGGCCTGAAGACAACCACTTCTATGAAGCTGTTATAACTGACTACAATCCTGCGGAGGTGTGTTCATTGTACTATACTACAAAAAGCTGAGTAACACAAGGACCTCTTTTAATATTTCTATTTAAATATTTGGCAGGGAAGGCATGCATTGGTCTATGATATGAATTCAGCAAATGAAACATGGGAGTGGGTCAATCTTAAAGAGGTAAAGTTCTTCCAGTATTCTTCAGTCCATGGTAATTACATACCATCTATTTTTAGCCCGGTTCTTTCTTTCCTTCTTTTTTTTTAAGAAATATTTCCTCCTGACAACCATAGTCAGAGCTTTTTCTTTTCAGATATCTTACTTTCCCATGGTGATCATATGCCTCATACTTTGAATCTCACACCTTGAAATGGGTATGAATTATCTCATGAATTTGTTAAGATAAACATTATATTTCTATCTAAAATCTTTTTGTGGTTGAAGGGGTTGGCATATAGTCAATGTCCTTGCCTAGCTTGGGCCAGCATTTGCATTGGTGATTTCCTTTCTAAGTATCTGTAATTAATGCAAACAAATGAAACTTCAAGCATACTGATACGATACTATGACCACCCTAAGGGCAATTTAGGGAAAACAATATGGCTGACTCAGCAAAACAGAATGGAAGCATGGGAAAGCAAGTTAGTTACGGAGAAATTGGTTAAATATAGAGGAGGGGGTGCTTGTAGGGGGGATCTGGAATCATAGTAGTGATTGGGCCTTTTTGGGATTGGGAGAGAGTGAGACCTCTAGAATTGTCTCACACTATCTTTTATTTCTTTGTGCTTTGTTACGTTTCTGTTCATTGTATTTCCTTTGTCACCATAATAGTCTCTGTTTACTGTCATTGTAATTGTTCTGGTTGAATATATGGAAAATCTGATGATTCAGGCCAAGGATCTGTGTTCTCCGTTATTAGTTCTGGTTTAGTTATCCGAAAGTCCTTATCAATTGGTATCAGAGCTATCCGATCCGGGTAACTTTGAAGGATACCGATCATTTAAAAAAAGAAATGGAGAATCAATTTCATAGAGTGAAGATCCCTGTATTTTCTGGTGAAGAAGATGTATATGAATGGTTAAATTGGATAGAGTGGTATTTTCGCAAGAATGGTAAACCGGAAGTTATGTGGCTGTCAGCAGTGAGAAGAGCCTTGCGGGAAGAAGCTTGGGATTGGTATTTTTGGTGGAAGCTTCAGACAACGAAATTTACATGGTCGTGGTTCCGAGTGGATGTAATCCAACAATTTCTCGAGGTGGAGAATGAAGCAGAAAAGAAAAATTGCAGAAGAGAAGAGAAAAAACTCATGAAAAAACTCATGGAGGATTTTTTAGCAGGACAAGAAGAGGGGAAAGCTATGAAATCACAGAAGAAGGAAGCTCCGGAAAAGGTTGTAGCGTCGCTACAGCCGCCGGCGAAGGTGACCCAACCACCACTGTTACCGGAGCAGTCAGATGCCAGCCTTCATAACGAGGAAGGCGGAATTTCACGTAGCAGTTACGTGCGGATGAGGCAGCAAGAAGAGCAAACAAACACCAATGAGGTGATTGTGGCTAGAGATGAAAACCATTATCTCTGTTTTGCCAGGGAGGAGGATGAGCAAGAACATAGCAAAAGGACAAAGGTCGTTAAAGATTTCTTGAAGGCAGGGGAGGCTATAACTATGGTAAAGACAGTAGGTTGGCCATCTCCTTTAGTGGTGGTAGAGTTGCCAATTTCCTCACCGGTAAAGGAGACCAGTATTGTTTCATTTGACGGCGACGAGAAGGAAGATGAAAGAGGAAGAGCCTTCCGACAAGGAGACGATCATGAATGGGTAAAGAGAGCAAGGGTGCTCGCATGGCCACCACCACCTATGGTTGTGGTTGACCCACCACCCTTGCCAAGGCCACCAGACAAGCACCACCGTGAGAGAGAAGAGTTGCTGCAGCCTTGTTGTGTACAGAATAGGGTGCAAACATGTGAACAACCAACAAAGAAGAGAGACACAATTAGGTCAAATTTGGAATTGGGCCAATTTCTAAACCCGGCCCAAATTAAAATGTTGTATGTTTCAGCCCAATTCAATGGTGGTTGCTTATATTTTTCTGTTTTGTGGGACGATTAGGCTTGTGAGCCCATGAATTTGTTTGAGTTAGGTGAGCCCAAAAAATATGAGCAACATCTAAACAAGCTGAACTTGGATGCCCAGGAACAAAGAATCGTGAGCGGGCCTCTTGGGTTAGTTATGGACTCATTGGTCCATTTTTCTTCTAAATTGCAAACCCTCATCTTCTTGGTTTTTGATGGGGACGACTGCCAGGGAGGCCACGAAGTGCGGCGCGGACTTATTTCAGGTTTGGCACTGCTGCCGTCTCCGTTCCATGGTGGCATGAGACACTATTGAGGAACATTTATGGTGATATATCTTACTTGAATGCACCTGCAATTTGGGTTGAAGCATATTTTTTCTTTTCATGAGACACTATTGAGGAACATTTATGGTGATATATCTTACTTGAATGCACCTGCAATTTGGGTTGAAGCATATTTTTTCTTTTGGAAGATTTTTTATAAGAGACCATGCCTTTATCATGGACGCTATTTCTTTTGCAATTCATTTATGGTCTAACAGGGGTGCACAAACAATATTATTTCGGGGTTCTTTGGGTGCATTTATGAGCTATGAAAAGCATGTTTCAGATGACCTCATGATGCATCAGCTTGTTGAAAAGTCTCATATAGGTGCTGTTTTGGTAAGATATCTTCAATTTGACATAATGGGCACTGTTCTTGGCATAATATATACTTTCTTGGTGTTACATGATGATGGACAATGGGATCCCGGTGGAGGTTATATAGCCGCATGTATTAGCTGGCCATTACAATTCAAGCAATGGGATCCCGGGAAAATGATCATCACCTTGAGGACAAGGTGATTGTTAGGGGGGAGAGTATTGATACAATACTATGACCAGCCTAAGGGCAGTTTAGGGAAAATAATATGGCTGACTCAGCAAAACAGAATGGAAGCATGGGAAAGCAAGTTAGTTAAGGAGGAATTGGTTAAATATAGAGGAGGGGGTGCTTGTAGGGGGGATCTGGAATCATAGTAGTGATTGGGCCTTTTTGGGATTGGGAGAGAGTGATTCTTTGTGCTTTGTTACGTTTCTGTTCATTGTATTTCCTTTGTCACCATAATAGTCTCTGTTTACTGTCATTGTAATTGTTGTGGTTGAATATATGGAAAATCTGATGATTCAGGCCAAGGATCTGTGTTCTCTGTTATTAGTTCTGGTTTAGTTATCTGAAAGTCCTTATCATATACATAGGATGATTATTTTTGAAATGACAATTGAGCTACATTTTCTCTCTTTTTTGCTTCTTCTCTTCTCTCTCTGAACAAAAATTAATTTTAATTTTTCAATTTTAATATGTTTTTATTCTTTTATTTTTTATTTTTTATTTTGTGTATATAAATTATTTTTTCTTATTTATTATGTACTTTTCCTTTATCTGTTCTTGCTTTTATATGGATTCATTGTCTAACTACCCGAACTAGTTTAGGCCAAAAGTTCTAAAAGTACTGTTGTTCTTTACAATCGGGCTACATCTTTACTCCAAAATACACAAATACATACTGAAGTTTTGGATAACTTGATATTATTGGGATCTTCACTAAGCATGATGCTGCAATTGTCAACAACATATCGTGATGCATTTTTTGCCCTAGCTTCCTGAAGCCTTTACACGGGGCTTTTTATGTCTGATTTGTGTCAAGGAAGTTTTATGACAGAATGCTTTGGTTAGTATACTAACCTGACCATATTGTAACTTTGCTAAATTCAGAGTCTGTTCATTTGCGAGATATTAGTAATATAACAAAATCCTTCTACTTTCATAGATCTCCTCCCCTTTAGTGTTTCCATCTGTTATAATTTACCATATGAATAGCAAAGCCTTACAAATGGGCTTGTTCTTTGCATTTATGAGTTCTAGTTTTAATTCTAGTTACTCCCATCAGTTATTTACCCCAGTTTTTTTTTCTGAGTGCAAATAATGTATTTTGTCATTAAGGTTTTCCTATCTGTCTTCTTAATGTCTCTTCACTTTTCTATCCATTATCCTTTATCAGTCAGACTTGACTAAGAGTTCATGTTGGAAATCCTAGTAACTATCTATTTGATATGGTAGATGTCACCAAAAGATATTCGTTGGGAGGGTGAAGATCCCGGAATACATCGTAAAGGTGGCCAGCCTGGTCCAGGTAGAGGGATGAAGAAGTCTATGTCTCGTGGTGGTGCAGTTGCTAGTGCTGGAAGAGGTAGGGGAATGACTAAGGTTCAGCCTAAGAAAGATTTTACTTTGTTGCAAAATGGGAGCAGGAAGAAGCCTACAGGTGATTTTGAGATACTCCACACAGATACCCTCATCAAGGAGGTATGACCATATCCAACAGAAATTATAGTTAGATTTGGATACTATTCTATGTCATTTGGCTACTTATATTACCTAACGGAATGGAACCAAAGCAGGTTGAAAAGATTTTTAGTGCCAGTCATCCTGATCCCATGGAAATGGAGAAAGCAAAGAAAATGCTAAAAGTGAGGATCAACCATTTTCTCTGAATTCCCAGCTTTATTTATCTATAATTTCGGCAAATACTGATGGGTCTCCCTTTGACATGCAGGAACATGAACAGGCCCTTGTCAATGCAATTGCCATGCTCGGAGATGCATCTGATGGTGAAAGTGGTAATAACCAAGTAACTAGAAATTTGTTCATGTAGAATTAATTGGAATTTCACCACATTCTGTTGCACCTTAATATTTGGACATTGCTAGTAATCCAGCAATAACCGGGGGGCAATTTTTCTTATTAACTCTTTCCCCCTATAGTAATCAAGTAAATGATGATGAAATTCAAGGCTGTGAGTAAATGCGCGTTCCTTTCCTATGTTTTTTTTTTCTAGCAGATAACTTCCTTTGTGCCTTTTGAAAAACTAATGGGATGGAATGTCACCGCCATATGTTGTCTTATTGACTAACGTGATGTTTGGTTAAACCCAGTAGTTCTAGAAATTAAGGATAATTTAGATCATTGATTATAAGACCTTTATCCATTCTGTTCCTTCAACTCTCTTGCTTTAAACCAGATGGAGAGCATCCATTTTCGCAAGGGCAGACAATGGATCAGGAAATAGGCTGGAAGAAACGACAGTATGATAACCTGGGTGGTGTTAAGAGTACTTGACGGTTTAAATGGTGATAAATTACCAAAAGAGACCAGTGCTCCATCTGAGTATCCACACGAAGTCTGCAATGACATTCAGTAGGCTTGTACCATTGTAATATGCTATGTTTTCTATTGTATTTTTGCGGATTTCTTCCTTTATCTATTAAGTAGTGTAGCGGTAGGAATGGCCTCTATCTAGTGGAACATGAGATATGTAACTTGTAAATTATACTTGAAAAACATGAAATGCTTACTCTGTCAGTAACTGATTTCTTTCATGAAGGTGACATAGAGGACACAAATCAACAGTCTAATCTGCAGATTCAACAAGTCAGATTATGTACACAAACTAATCCCAATAGAAGAGGCAATCCACACTCAGCAATCAGTTATTTGTCTTTACAATGATGCAATAAATTTAACGATGAGATCCACCATCTGAGCATCATAACCAGGCCCCTCCATTTGGAAGTGGCCTATCCCATCAATTAGATGCGTTTCAACACGTCCAGCCGCAGAATTAAGCTTATTTTTCAGCTGCTTTACGCTGGTGAATCCATCTTGTGTTCCCATGATGAAGAGTTTTGGTTTTGGGGACTGTAAGATGGCTTTGTTGTGTCGTCCAAAAAGGATTGAGGCAGTCATGCCAAATGGATAACCTATGCTTACATAGCCAATGACTTGTTCGATCTGATCAACAGCAGACCCTGCTATAGGTGCACCTGTAATAAAAGAAATAACTCAATTTATGTGGATTAACACCATAGGTCTGATAGTCCATGGAAACTCAAGCACACATTTTATGTGATTTAATAACATTTCGACTCTCAAAATGGTACAAAACTTAATCTGCAAATCGGTCTATATCTAAAGCTGGAACAAATTCCTTTCAAACAGCAAACAACCTTCACATTCTGAAGGCATGCATATTAAAGCTCTCCAGACTTATTATTACCAATGCAACTCTTAACTAAAAACTCCAAAAGGCATCCAATTCAATTTCATGTAAGCCTGCCCGGAATAACTAAAATCTAATCAGGGAGACAGAAAACTCGATATTTATCATATAGCTATGAGCTAAGTCATAGTAGGAGAAAATAACATAGAAGCTAGCTAGCCTTAAACATGAAAGAGGTATCAATCAAATAATTTCAGACATTTGATACTACAGAAACACTGAGACCTTAAGATTTGTTCCTCCAAATAGAGGGGATCACGTTCAATAGACTGATAAAAGAAACTTGTGTTAAAAGAAAATGATTAATTTCACAGATCTGAGACATACACATACATGAAAAATTATTTAAGACAATGCAATCAATCAATCAATCATAAAGTGAAAATGATTAATATACCTGCGGAAGAACCAACCAACAAAACCCTATGAAGAGAGAGACTTTGAGAGACCCATTTGCAGACAGCAACGACATCCTTAACTTCAGCAAAGCCAGTGAGAGAAGGCCTCCCAGAGGACCTGCCAACGCCTCTCATGTCAAAAGTGACAGCTGTATAACCATTCAGAGCCAACCCAGAAGCAATTCCTTTAAGGAGACCCTGTGAACCACCCAAAATGGAGTATGGGTGAACCAGAACGATCGCCAAGTTGTCATCTTTAACATCACCTCCTGGCTTGAAGACCCTTGTACGGAGCTTCACTCCATCGTTGGTTTCGACCGTAAAGGACTCGAGTGTGAAGTTTGACATGGTGGCCACAACACCCCAAGAAGGAAAAGCAAATAACTTGATATTGATCGATCTTAATTGAATGTTGCTGATGATGTGAGCGAGCGAGCGAGTTCAGTTGGGGGTTAGGGAAATCAATAAAATAATGCGTGTACGGAACAATGGATTGGGTCAGTTCTCAGTCGCTCATTCATTGGGCTGAGAATCAGTTGGAAAAATTTATGCCCACAACACCAATATTGTGATTGTTTCATTCATACGCTATCTTTCTTTTTTTCCTTTGGCCTGGTTTCCTTTTTGAAAAGCAAACAGGAAACATAAAAACAAAAAAAGAAACTAGGAACACCTCCTGGCCTGGTTTCCTTTGATTTATGATAACTCTAATATTGTGATTAATTAGTGTTACTATCAATGTTATTATCAATTAATTAATTTCACCGTTAGATCGATTATGTTAATCTAACGATTATATTTATTTTCATCTTTGTACGGTTATGATTCCTCATATTTAATACTTTATATTTATTTTCACCTTTGTATGATTATAATTTTCTATATTTGATGCTTTCACATTAAATATGGAGAATCAAAATCATACAAAGATGAAAATAAATATAACCGTCGGATCAACATAATAGATCTAACGGTAAAATTGATTGGTAGTAACATTAATTGGTTATTACAATTCCTATCCCATAAATGATTGGAAAATTATATTCTTATATTGTATGAAATTTATCTCTTACATTTATATTCATATAAAAAAATATGCCTTTTTTTAAAAAAAAATAAATAAATTGGTGAGCCCCACTTTGTTTATCTTATAATATAAAATAATTTTTCTCCTACTACATGAGAGAAGTAAGCCCATAAATGATTCTAAAAACGGTTTCCTTTCTTTCTTAATTAAAAATAGAAAATGTCTGTTATCAAAAAAAAAAAATAGAAAATGTGGTTAGAGAGCATCTATGATGCACCGACACTGTTAACTATATGTCCAATAATCACATATTAGATATGCATCCATTTATGGAAGCAACGCAATGTTATCGAAGGCTGTAAAGCTAAGCTTAGTCGCTATTTTCTTAATAGTTTATTTTCATCAGGGGGAGCGAATTAATTATACCTATTCCTGAAGGATGGAGCCTTTAAGGGGGCGTTTGGTAGACGAGATTTTTTTTTATTGGGAAAACATAATTAATGGAGAAATAGTAGGAAAGTGAGTTTGATGGAAAAGTTTAAAAAAGATGTTTGGTTCACCGAAATATTATCGGGGAAATTTATGTAAATTTGCAAAGTCTATATTTGGTTGAATGTAAAATAGTGATGAAAAAATTGGTTGAGTTGACCAAAACACCCCTATTATCAATATTTTTTAAACAAATCACTACCTAAAAATGAGAGTCCAACATCAATAACTTGGTCTCCTTAAATATCACTTCCCCATCTAATCTTATCCTAAAATACCACACCCAAAGTGGTATTTGTGAATAGTTAGTTTGAGAAAAAGCAACACAAATCCAATTGCCTAGGCTTCCTATTTAGCTAGTTTTTTTTTTTTTTTCAAAACTTGAACCAAACATGGTCTTTTTCAATACCCACCCACATTTCTCCATCAAACTCAAATGAAAACCTATACTAAACACACCCTAAGGTTTATTATTGTACTCTTTTTTTCTTTGCTAAGTTTTTTCCCAAAGAGTTTTTCTTGGCTAAAGGTTTTTAATGAGGCAGTTTGTGTAATGCTTTGGTAGCATATGTCATGTACTTTATTTCCTTTGCTGGATTTTCCCATTGGATTTTCTAGCAAGGTTTTAACAAGACATGAATATTATTGCAATGATGTCCATGTAAAAGTGTTATAAATGGAAATTATTAAAAATTATAGTTGTTAATTCACTTTCTTAGCTCCAGCAGTAGATATATGGCTTAAATGAGGGGGAGTTATACCCATCGTACTCTTTTTCCCTTTACCAAAAAAAATTTCAGCTGGTTTTGAAAAAGTTTTTAACGAGGCAGTCTAAATTAGTGTATAACAAAAGATTATACATTGATTATGAATATTGTACTCTTTTTCCTTCGCTAATGTTTTATCCAACTGGAATGGATGACTTTTTCCTTCATAGTACATCGTCATCCAAGGGGGAGTGTTACAAAATGGATGACTTTTTGTATTCTGAAATGGTAATTCAAATTCTGAAAATCGTTGACATTTATCCCCTAATTTATTATTGTAATTGTTGGCATTTATCTCTCAATTTATGATTGTTTAATACTAGTTTAATTGCCCTTCATTGTTGTAGCTCTATATAAATGGGTATTATCATGCTAATGGATGTGACATCTTTCTGAGTACACTCTCTTATTTTCCCTTCAATTACTCCCTAACTTTCTCTCTAATTTTTCTTGCTTTCTCTTATATGAATTTCCTTCTCTTTAGACCCTTGTTTTCTATAACAAAATTAAATTTTAAAAAAAAAAAATCAAAAACCAAATCTTAAAATTCTATTTGGATTAAAAATAAAACTTTTAAATCTTCTTTCCTTAGCTTTCAAATTTTTTAAAGATTCTAACTCAAGGCATGATCAGGATTCACTCATCCAACCATTACACGAAATTTAAGATTTTATCTTGCAACTTCGACCTCCACGATTTCATGACAATTGTGTTACGTCCTCTTAATCATAGTTTATCACAAATTAAGTCCAACAATAACTTCTAAAAAATTAAACAAACATAATTTGGCTTCACTTGTTTGTTACCATCAAAACTAGACAAGGTGTGAGACCCAACAAAGTTTTCACTTTAATTTTAATTTCACTTTTGTTAAGTTTAAATATTAATCATGTTTTGTTTTTTGGATGATTGACATGTGTATGTGTGAATTGAAAATGATGCACTGCAACTTAGAGATTTTGCATTTGGTTGCTGCTTAAAAAATGGTGTCATTTTATTTTAATTTAATTTTTAAAAATTTTCATGATCCGATCAGGTTAACAAAAATCGATTAGGTCACCAGTTTTGACAAAAATCAGCCGAGTCAAACTAATTCTCACTGAGTTTGTTGCATGGTCGATCCGTTAGTTAACTCAAACCAATTAAGTCACCAATTTATCGGTTTTCAAATTAACCTGACCGCAGAAGTGTAAATTCACTAGGCTAAGTTAGGCTTTGGTTTAAATAGCCTAGGCCTATGTAAAATACCTTAGGCCTGACTTGGCGTATTAGCATTATATAGGCCTAAATTATAAATCTGGTCTGACCTATATTTAAAAAATAAAAGTGTTGGCTAAGTCTTTTAGCCTGTTTAAGCCTATTAAACATTCAATAATTAAAAAAATAATTAAAATAATTATTTTATTATTAAAAATTATTAAAATAATAATTTTATTTAAAATAAATAATATAATATAGGTCGGCCTGTAAGCTAATAGGCTCAACATGTAAAAAAAAAAGCCTACAATCTACTTTTTAATTAGATTTTTTTAAAAGTCTAGGTTTGCTCTATTTGACTATATGTAATCGGTCAAACCTGACCTAATATAGGGAAATATCTACAGTACTACTGCTGTACCATTCACTCAGTACATCTATCCAATAAAAATTGAGGAATGACTGTCATGCTTGTATGAAAAGGAGAGAAAAATATTTTTTTTATCCAAATGTCACTTATTGAATAGCAGATGTACATACTACAAATTTACAGAAAATGATCTCCTAATATAGGCTAGGTTGTAGGCCCCTGTAGACCGACTTAGCTCATTTACACCCTTACCTGACCGGGTCGAGCTGAGTTTAATAACATTGGTTCACTGTCCAAAATTTTATGGTTCTTTTTGAAAGGTTATAGTTGTCAAAGTTATAAAATACATTTTCATTAAAAAAAATTGTGGGGTTCAAATTTTGAAATTCACTATATTTCTTTTATTTAATTTTTTTTAACGACCCAACTCAATGATAAATTCTATCTTAAACTTTAAACTCAATGATGGAGTAAATATTCTTTTGGGCCCTTAACAAAAAATATGAAACTCATTTTAATCCCTTACCAAAAATAAAAGTTGACTTGTGATCTCTCTGAAATTCTAGTTCTTTAAAATTGTGGTCACTCAGAAATTCAAAGAATATCTACATTAGTCCCTAAAAAAGGATTAATATAAATTTTTTTTATAAGAGATTAAAATAAGTTTTATATTTTTTGTTAAGGACCCAAAATAATATTTAATCTAGTTGATATTTCGAATTTTGCATCAACGAAACACTACAAAGAGAATTTTCTAATTTATATGCTTAAGTTAAGAAGCATATAAAATAATGTTATTTACACGTCATCTTTATGAAAAATAAGATGAGTTTACATCATCTTTGCATTATTTATTTTCTAACAATGAAAAAAGAGAAAGTGTCTTTTTTAATATATTCTTTCGTTATTTTCTTCTTTTTTTTTTTTGGCGAACCGTTATTTCTTTTTTATTTCTTTTTTTCCAACACAACAAAAAGTATTAAAAACAAAAGTAATGTTTTGGAAGATTATTTCTCAGGCATAGATATAACGAGAGGCTTCACGAAACAAAAATCTTTATAAATTTCGTTTGATAAAGTTTTATGAGAATAAATTTTACAATCTACAAATTCGATTTCTGTTTTTTAGAACGTATTTAGAGCAATGTTGATAAAATCGGATTGACCCGGCCAGGTCGACCCGAGAACTCATAAATCGATCATATAATCAGTACGGTTGAAGTAACGGATCCGCCATGCATCAAAATTGGTGCGACTCGGTGCAACCCGGCCGGTTTTCATGAAAATCAGTGACCCGACCCGGTTCAAAAAAAAAATTCCATATTTTTTTTCAAAATAATAATAATAATGGACATATTTAATATTTTTTGTTTATTGACTTACATAAGTTATGTACTTACAACACTAATATTATCTCAATTATGCACAATGCAGCAAATTTTGATTTGATTTGATTTGATTTATAGTTAGAGGTGTCGTTTAGTGAACCTGAAATCCCGTATCACGATCGTTATATTTTTGTTTGATTATTACTAAATAATATGTGATTTTTTATATTAAAATATTTGAAATTTTTATCATTTTTTTTTAGATATTTGAGTATGTTTATAATTTTTTCATATAAATTATAGAATTACATATAATTATC